TTCGAATCTGTTTGAGCCACCCGTGAAGTTTGGTGTGATCACCATCGAACGGCGGTAAGGGTTGCCGACGTCCGTGGGTCATTGCGCGGATCAGAGCAACATGTGCTGGGTCCTGTCCAAGAGGAATCGGAGGTGCCGCCGGCGCAACTTGTTGTGCAACCGGGGCGGGTGGCGGGTTGGCATATGGCATGTGACCTTGTTGATCTTCGTATGCCTCCTGTTGGTAAGCTTCGTCGTCATGACCGTTGTATCCGTCCTGTTGCGGATACCGAGCCTGATCTGAGTGACGAGGCTGTTGCGGCTGTCCTCCATGCTGTTGTGGAGGGGGCGCTCGATTTTGTCTCGCCGCCTGCGGATAGAATCCACTTGGCTGGTCGTAGACTCTTCCGTACCGGTCGGGCTGTGTTCCCTGAGCCGGCATCCGACTTTCTGTAGGTCGGTTTGGAGGCCTCCGGCCTTGCTGGTCGGAGCTGTCTTCTCCGTTTCTTCCGTCCTGCTGCTGGTCAGCCGTGTTGAATGACCGAGCTCGCCCGCGTTCCGAGTCGAACTGCGGGTTCTGGCGGAGTAAGTTCGGGTTGGAATTCGTCCGTGGTGGGCGGTATGCCTCCATGCCAGGTCTCGGTGGTTGGACGGGGAGACGTTCGGCATCCGTTGTCCGGTCTCCTCTGGCGTTAGGTACCGGCGCGTACGTTGTTGTCCGCGTCGCATACGAGGTGCTAGTATATGCACCGGCCGACGTCGTTGTCGCCACGTTCGTTGTTGGCACTCGTGGTGCCGCGGTCGACGTATTGTGTTCCGGTTCCGGAGCACTCGGTACAGTTGGTGGTTGTGGGATTGTTCCCACACTCGGGTCGGTTGTTACGACTCCGACGAAGTAGGAGGTGTTGTTTTCCTTCTTCGCCATTTCTTGGGTAGGGTTAATGCCCCACAGGATGTCACTGATCGTTCGTGACGGCTGTTGATCCTGTGCCATGGACGTCCGGTATGAGGGCGGTTCAACCCCGCTTTGTTCCCGGTATGAGGGAAGTTCGACCTGGTTTTGTTCCAGGTGTTTCTTCTCCTCCCTCAGACACCTTGTTTCGATGTCCATTTCGTCCATTTGCCGCATCATCTCCGTGAGGTTGCGGGCGGCTTGTTCGCCGAATTCGTACAGCTCGACTTCGCGAGCTTCCAGGTAAAGGATGCGGTTGTGTTGCGCCTCGTTTACCTTCTGAGCCTCGTTCAGGCTATGCTCCAGTTGAGCTCGGAGTTTTTGTTCCTCCTTAAGGACTTTGTTCAGTCCATGGACTTGGTCGGCTAGCTGGGCGTTTGCTTCCACCAGGTCGACATCGGCTGTCCTTTGGTTAGGGAAGCCCATGTCCCGAGCGTTCGCGTCAATGAACCGGCGTCCCATTCTGGTGAAGAGGAGTTCGATTTCCGATTCGAGCTCGTCGACTCTGTGTGTTAGGCGGTCGATCTCGTCGTCGGCCTTCTTCAATTCCACCACGTATCTATCGACTTCGTTTCGATAGACCTCGGCTTCTTCGTTGGCCGTGTTGAGTTGCTGATGGAACGCTCCGGCTGCTTGTTCCGACTCGACCAATGCCGTTTGTACATCAGCCAAGTCTTTCTGTGCGTCTTCGAGCGCTTTGTTCGCTTCATCAAGCTCCTTCTTGATTTCGAAGACGGCTGCGGTTGACCGTTCCAGCCTGCCAGTTAGTATGGCGACTTGGTCATCTTCGTATCGACACGGTAAGTCAGTTCGCTTCAGTATGGCGTTTAGCCGGTCGATTTCCCGTTGTTGGATGGCGATGCCCTTGTTGGCGTCAGCCAGATCTCGTTCCCATTTCCTCCGTTCGAGTTTATGGGTATCCGCCGAGTTGCGGAGTGATCCTTCCGTGGAGTTAACGATTTGATCTGCCAAAACGATCTGTGCGATCAGTTTATGGCATCTCGCACGGAGTAGGTCGACATCTTCGATCTTTTCGGGCGGTGTTGCCGCGATCCACTTCTTGGCCGTATATTTGAGTGCACTGGCCTGGTAGGTGAGGTCGTCCTTGTTGGACTTCACCGGTGTTGTGAAGAATCCATCCGCACTGTTCGGTCTTGACACCTTTGTTGTGTCAAAGACTTCGTCGTTCGGTGTCGGGGTTCTCTCGCTACCAAGTTCGCCAGGTTCGAACATTAGCGGTGACGGTCGGATCTTCAGGTCGACAGGTCGACTTTGTGTCGCCTTAGTTGACTTCGCCGTTTGTTGAGCTTCAGCTACTCGAGTCGACTCGCTTCCAGTTGGCGAAGTTCGGCTCAACGGTGAAATGATCCGTTCGTTAGGTGCCGGTATGTTAGTCGGCGATCCCACTGGGTGAGAGCCGCTTCGTGGCGGTACCTCGGAATCTTCCGTTCCGGTCGGTAGTTTAGTCGGCTGGACGGCCGCATCCGACTTTGTGTCGGTTGGTTGCCGTTCCAGGGGAGTCGGTTGCTTGTGCCGACTTCCTTTTCTCCGACCTCCAAGGTCGGTATCTGTTGGCCGGCCTTCGAAGTCGGTGAAATCCTTCCGACCTGTGTGGTCGGTTGGACTCTGCTGGCATCTGTTATCAGCTTTCCCATTCCAGTCGAGGTCGGTTGTTCGAGATCTGGAGCTGATGGTAGGTCGGCCTTCTGTTGGTCGACTTCCCTGCTCGGAGATTTTCGCTCGGCCTGCGTGGTCGGCGATTTCCTTCCGACTTGGTTAGTCGGTGTATCCATGTTGGACGAGGTCGGTTTGGGCACTTCTTCCGTCCAGTTGGGTGATTGCCGTCCGAGCTCGGTGGCTTTGGTGGCCGGTACCAAGTCTTGAGCTCTGTGTGAGCTCGACTCCTGGTCGGTATGAGACAATGTGGTCTCGGCTTGCAGCTGTTCCACATCCCCCCCGGTCGGGTGGGACGGGGCTGCTACGTCAGCTTGGGTATCCAGGAATGTTTTATCCTTAGCGTCCTCGAAACTGTCATCCGAGGTCGGATTCGAGTCGGCAAGGAGGATTCGTTCGTTGCGCCTTTCCCTTGCCTTAGCCGACTTAGTCGAGTCGGTTGAGGATGGCTGACTTTTGTCCTGACCGGCGTACCGGAGTGAGTACTTTCCGGTCGTGTTTGCACGCCGAGAATAGTCCTTGTTGAACTTTCTCGCGTAGTCGTTCTCTCGGGAGTTCGACATTGTTGTCGACTCAGGTCGGCTCTGATGGAGCCTTGTAGGGTTTTATCAGTTAAAAGAGAAAGTCGAACAATCTTCTGTGTGAAGGTTGTTTGGTTAAAGCAGGAACGTCTTTTTGTTCAGGAACGTCCGATGAGATGTTGTTATTGTTGTTGATGTGTCTGTTGGTGACTCAGTACACAGGGTGTTAATATACAGTACAATGGTACAGTACAGTACGTAATAGTAGTACGGTGTAGTACGTCCTATGTTACTGTGCTAACCGGTGTGACGTAACAGGTTAAGTGGTCTTGCACTTCTGCCTACGTCACAGAATGCGAGCCGCGTGCAAATTTTACAAAAAACGATGAATCACGCCTATGTTAAGCTATGGGAACTTTCCCCTGCACGCTGATTGGCTGCCTCTTAAGTACTGATAATGAATCAATGCGGTCGTTATGACGTCACAAGGAAGTTCAAGAATTTTCGCGCTATTTCCCGCGAGAAAAACAAATTATTTTTAGTCGGCTAGAAATTCTATCTAGTCGGATTTTTAAGTTTTTAACCGTTAGAAATTATTTTTATTAATTAAGAAAATTTTCTGGTGGTCGAAACACCGTTAGAAATCAAAATGAAGAGAATTTCCGACCTGTTGCCGGTTAGCCTTTGTCTAACTGTCTAGACAGGTTCGTTGACCTAGCAGGTCGGTTCTCGACCAAAAGCAAAATTCCGAGTCGGTTTCTCCGTCGAAAATTACTTTTTCACCGTTAGAAATTTTAGATTTACGGATAGAAATTGTTTTCTACCGCTAGAAAATGAAATGCCGACCTAGTTTCGGCTAAAATCGACCTAGAACCGTTACTTTACCGGTGTCGGTGTCGGTGTCGGTTCCGCTCGATTTCCTCCGTCCGAGGTCGGAAATCCGTCGTTTCCGAGTTGAAAACCGCCGTTAAAGTTGCGGGTCGCTGTTCAAAGCGAAGGTCCCCGTATTATTGGATTAATCCTATCGCGCTGCAGACTCTCGTTCGAGTCTGATCCGTCAGTTGGGAAAAAGTCCGTGCTGTTGGGAATGCTCTTCAATGTGGAAGAGATCAAGAAACTGTGCTCACCAGCTGGGCAAGAATCACTTCAGTGATCCCCGTTATTCCTCAGCTGTAAGACGATGCGATCTGTGTGATCGACAGCCAATGCAGTGATTGCTTCAGCAAACCACAGTCTGACAGTGACTGAAAAGGTTTCCAGACGAGTTCTCCGTGAATGAAGCCTTCACCGTCTCCTCAAAGGGTCCGTTGATAGAAAACCAAACGATTCTGCTTACCATGTAACAGGCAAGCGCGAGGAGATCACGAGTGAGCTTTATTGTACAAATAAAGGGGAACAATGCTGCGTAATAGCAGGAAAGCAAGAACAAAGCACTGATGGCTAATAGCAAGTGATGCTGAAGTGGGTTCTTGAGCGTCTGTCAAGGCGTGAAAGAAGCAACTGGCGGCAAGCACGTGGTGTGTGCCATCAGCTGTGTGATGATGCGCAGACTGGACTCTATCCAACGCGAGCGTATGAACGCTGAGTCATACTGCGAGAGAGGAACGAGAGAGCAAGTGTGGCTCAGTGTATGCGCTGCGTATATCCGCTTCAGCGGATGTGAGTGCAGTGCAGCAGCACACGTACGTACAGCGAGAGAGGCGATAACGGCAAGCATGAGTGCAAGTACGTCCAGTGTGGACCGTACGCACCAGGCGCAGTCGTACGCCTCTGACAATGGAATGTTGTTGAATGATTCATTTCTGCCCTCAAATATACAGTAGCGCAGGCAGCCGTAGTGCACAGTTTTAAAAGTACCATGGTATTTTTCGCAGAGTTACGATAAGGGATTACCAGGACATGTGCAAACCAAACAAGACAGAAAAGAATGCTGGATGCATTTCAAAACCTTGGATAAACGTGCACAAGATGCTGCAAGGGCTGTTAATCTTAGCAGAACTACTGTACGGGTATGTCACATTTGCATTACATTCACAACAATCCTTGCAGTTATGTATATATATGCAATAATTATTATTGTATGTCTTACTTACTGTTAGAAGAATATGTCCAGAGTACACACTAATGCAGTATTTGGTCTTAATTTCCAACAACAACATTTTGCAGGCAGCTTCTGTTCTTGCTGTCGTTATGCAAGTCCGTTTTAACCGCCGAGGACTACTATATATATGAAACTTACGGTAATGACACCGTCGAGCATGTGCCGGAACCACCTCGATTCCCTTGTGAAACAGATACGACACTGTTTACGTCGACCTGGAATGAGCTGAAGCTGTCGTTCCAGATCAACTGTTTATCCACCTGCGTAAAGTAAGCGCCGAGGTCACGATTAGTCTATTGATCTTGGAGTTGTGGTGAAGTGTCACGCATACAGTCCGTTCTGAAACTAACGTTTGGTCTTTTACATAGGAATGTAGAAGTCTATAAGGTTTCGTTGACCAATCTCATTCTGGTTGCACTGGATGGTCAAAGGTCATGTCCGTGCGATGGTACACGAATGTCAGCTGAACCGCGACAAGTAAAATATTCCGCAGCGGAGGAGTGTCGAATATTTAACGCCTTCCCTTACCGAAAACGCCCTGCAGACTGTGCTCCGTACTTTCAATCCGTAAGCCAGAAAAAATCTAGCAAAAAATTTTCTTAAAACATTTGCGAGCTTGAATGCGGCAGTTTCGAAGCATCAAGCATGCGGTCACGAGTGCTAGCGGTCTTACGATAGCTGTGCAGCTCGTACATGTTTACGTAAATTCATCCGGTGCAGAGATTATAAGCCTAAGAATCTACTAGTGCCAACCAAGTTTGAATTCTTTTATTCATTTGTTTTGCATGATCTTTTAACAGGAAGACTATTCCGAATGCGGTAGACCTTGGGTGCCTTACAGCACATCGGACCGTGGAATCTTGGTTGTTCCTGATAAAAGTGCCCTTTTGCTTTTCTTGTCTTTCAACATATTGGTGTACTCAGTACAGTAACATAATTTTTGCATACAGTGAATGATGAAACTTAAAACTGGTAAGAAAATTGTCTTTAGAATTCGTTGGTACAAAGGAATCGTTCACAGTTTTCCAGCTGAATTCCCCCATGACTACCTGGAACGTATGCACAAATTAGTAAAATGCCAAAATGCAACATCGTGCTGTGTCAAAAAAGTTTTTTTTCCAGATTCGAATAAATTTTATGCTCAGTTAATAAGAAGAACTGCGATCCCAGACTTCGCGGACAGTGTCAGCAATGAAATACAATAGTACGTACAGTAATTTACGCTGAATTTAATATGGCCATAGCCAGCCAGATAGCCAAAAAGTGCAAGCGCGATGGCTTTACTTCGTCATTCTAGAAAATCATAACGGTGAAAAACAACTGAGAATTTTGGAGATAAGTCTTTGCATCTCCCCGCTTATACGAATCGTTATGTCGACATTTCCATTGTGCGTTTAGCAGAAAACTAAGAGCCATACGTCGCAAGAGTTACTGTAGAAGTATAAGCATTTTAGAGTACAGTCGTCCGGCATTCAAATCCAAACATTTATACATTATTATGATCCTTTATCCACGTTTCTGGACGATGACCAGCGAGTCAGTAATACACGAATACACACACTCTGGAAGGCTCTACGCGTACGTTGTAGCGTGCACGCGCAGTTTCGTTGCTGCTTCTGTTTTCCAGCTTGCTGTCGCAACAAACTTTTCAGTCTTTTTAGTTTTATTCCGAAAAATCTCGAACGAGTAATATGTACACCATTATATCTGTAACGACATGTTATTTTGTTAGCTACTGTATTGCACTCTTAAAAATGGCTGCTTCGCCACGGACGCCACCAACATCTCAGTGGCAAGTTGGCGATCTGGTGCGAGTGGAAGGTAAAGATTGTGAAGGGAAGATTGCCTTTATCGGGGAAACTAAATTTGCGTCGGGTATCGGGGTGGGTGTCGTGCTTCGTGAACCGAAAGGGAAAAATAATGGCACTGTTAAGGACGTGAAATCTTTCGAATGCGAGGAAAACTGTGGAACGTTCGTCCGCGAAAGTCAGGTGAGGCGTAAGTTGTTTAACAGATACGAAGACGTCGAACAGTAAGTTCATAGAAATTCATACAACAAAATGACGGGCAAAACAGTGCGTTACGATTGCATGTATTGTACAATATCGCTTGAGTTTAGAAATATTGTACGTTTTCGGGCAGGTATTTGCGTTGACGAGCGAACGAAGAGGATCTTCGGCCACCTCATTGACTGGCTCCACAACATCACTGCAGAGTTTGACTGAGAAGTCTGGAGGCTCAACGCCGTCCGAAGCCCATACGACAAAAACGGATAAGACTGCCGCCAGACCGAGTGTTAAGGGATCTGCTGCGAAAGGTGCACTGCCTGCGCCGTCCCAGAGCGCCTCCAGAGTGCCTGCGCCTGGATTGAAAGCGCCGCGTCCTTCCGCATCTATCCCTTCTGGTCTTTCCTCCGTTTCCGCAACCGAGTCGAGTAGGTGCATCGTGAACTGCATCCGTGAGGTTGGCAGAATTGTGATACATACGAAAATCAATATTATCCTTGCCAAAAACTATTTTTTATGAAGCTGTAGTAGAAATTGTACAATATGAAATTGTCAAATTTGCTTGATAAATTCAAGCTTTCGCTGATTAGTTTCGGTCAAACCATTACTGTAGCCGCGAGATAACTTGCACCACAGAGTCTGGTGTACGGAAAGTTATGCTACAGTAAATTTTGGTTTCTTAAAGTTTCTTAAAATAAGCTGTAAGAAATTTCCCACTCTTTCACCTTGTTTTATTGGACGTCTGCTTTAAGCGGTGAAGCGATAGAAATTACAATAGAAAACACCACATGCATTGAAAACATATGTTGGATAACATTATTTAAAATGTAGTGCATTTATCTTTTTTTAATTTGTTTAGGCAGCAAAAAACTTCCGACCTTTGCCCCTGTACTAGCCTCTGCCGTCGCCGCAGTTGATTCTTCGCCACCGTTAGAGCAGCCGAGTTCGCCAGCCAAGAATGATCTCCCCAAGGAAGCTCCTCTCTCTTCCAGAGAGATCTCCCAACCAGTCACAGCGACAGAACGCAAAGGATCCTTGAAAACTGAAACTTCAATCGACGCTTCGACGGTTAGCGAGACGGAAGCCGCACGCCCTGAACCAAAAGAGATCGCGGTTGATATTCACAGATTAAAACGGGACTATGAGTCGGAGAACAACAAACTACGTCTTCAAATCGAGCATCTCGAGATCAACAAGCAAAAATGGCAGAAGCTCATGGTGAGCTGCAGAAACAGTTGCTCGCTGCTCAGAAAGAAATTCGTGAGGTCAAAGAAGCGGCGTCCACCCAGGAGGATCTGACTGAGCTTCACGAAAACATTGAGATGTTGACCCTTGATCGCGAGATGGCGGAAGAAAAACGAGAACAGATGGAACGGGAATTAGAGGATCTCAAAATGAAATACGAGGATAAATGTCTGGATTTGGAGATGTTACAGCATCAGGTATCTGAGGGAGGGCATGGAGAAGCGTCCACGAACATGAAAGTTGTGCAGCTAGAGAAGCAAAAACAGGATTTAACAGAAGCCCTTTACAAGCTTCGAGATTTGCTGGATGGAAAAAAATATGACGTGCAACGGTTGGAAAAGGATTTGAAGGCAGCGGAGGAACGAAACGATGCCCTTACTGTTTCGGTCGAAAGACACCAGAGGGAAATTGCTACTAATGAAGAACTTCTAGTGAATCTTCGTGAGCAGGTAAACGTAATTGGGCCATTGCCGTAAAAATTGATGCTTTCAGTAGACATGTCTGCCATTTGCGCTGTTTGCTTTATTGGACTTTAAGCTGTATAATTCTTGAAATGTGCATTAAGTGCAACTACCGAATGAGTGATTAGCTTGGTACTAACTGTATTTGTATTTGTAGGTTGATGCTGCTTTGGGTGCGGAGGAGATGGTTGAGCGTTTAGCTAACCAAAAATTAGATCTGGAAGACAAAATCGAAGAACTACGGGATACGGTGAAGGATTACGAAGAGATAATGGCTATGAATAATGAGTTGATTGAGTTATCACAGTGATGAGCGGCACACCCACGAGCAGTTGGATATGGCTCGATCCGAAAGTTCAATTCTGAAATTGCGATTAGTGGAGCTGCAACAGAATTTGAATGATACCAGCCAGACGGTGCATAAATTCCGTGATTTGACAAAACAGCTGCAGGAAGAAAACAATCGTATGCGCGAGCAACTGCAACTGAGTGCTAACACGCCAACCCAAGCTGCTGTGGTGCCGGCATCGGTCGATTTCCGCCTGAAAATCCAGGACGACAAAGTTAATGCCGAACGAGTGGATAGGAAAATGCTGATGATCAAAGAGAAGATGTTGCAGCAGGAACAAGCCTATTTAATGTTGTTCATGCCTGACATATTCGCCATCAGCCGTGAAGACAGTTTTATCCGTATCTGTGTTTTACCGGAACTGATTGGTTTGAAACTGCGTTTGATTGAAGAAGAAGTACAAATGAAATATGAAGTTCCGACCGTTGTCGATTTATCTGCTGTTCAAAGCTTTGATGCTCATCGTCGGGATGAAGTCGCCTATGCGTCGTATTTTAATTTCCTGCTAAAGATTCTAGAGGCGAATGACCGAGATATCGACTATGCGATTCGCACCGCTCCGGCCGAAATTTTTGGTATGTTGAATGATTTGGAAGGCCGGGTGGATCGTCCAGAGAAAGCCATCCAGTACTATATTGATCAGTTGCGCCAGAGTCGCTTGGATGACACGATCAGTCTCGAATACTTGGAGACCTCAACCAAAGATATGGACGATATTTTAGAACGGTTGAATGCGGTGGAAGCCAGTGCTCGCAGCAGTATGGATAAAATGAAAGATGTCATGGATATTATTGCTTTCGGGATGAAATCGATTGCAGCCAGCGCGCTGGGGCTGAAGTTGTTGGCGGGAGCTACGGCTACAGAATTTTCCAAATTGTTTATGGAGTTTGCTAATAAATCCGAAATTGTAACAGATATTGTGCGCAAGGTGAAGCGACCACTGGACACCGACAATGAACTGCGCGCAGTGATGCTTTCGGAAACTGTCGATGCGCAGCTGAAAGATATAGTGAACAATCTGCACCGATGTGTGGCACTGTGTTATTTGTGGTATCAGACCGTCAACACGCAGAACGCGGTTCACGCCAGTGATAAACCACCGTTGGATAATGAGCACTTGAAGCGGATTCTGTACGCGGAAAATGATAAAGGATCATTCCGGGGACAGACAGGATTTTATAAGACCACCACAACGTCACCACAACAGACTATGTTGAACTTCATGGAGGAAACCACTGGGACGTTGCAACAGTTTTTTGAAGAAATCAACGACTGAGAGTGGCATCGGGGTGGTGTTAAACTTCCGGAGATGCCTAAACATCCTTTGAAGGTTCGTGCGGAAACACTGAAGAAGGCGCTGGCCGATGCGGAGGCACTGAAGAGCAGATTAGCTACAAAGGATAAGGAGATCGTCGAACTTAAGAAAAGTAAGTGCTTTTGTAAATTATGCTGCACAAATTTGATCAGGCATTGATTTTCGGCATGGGTGTTTACTTGTGCATTTTTCATTGATTATTATGGGGTAGAGTTGAATTAAGAAGTTTTTAACCATCGAATGGACGTGTTAAATACAGTGCGTATTATACTATCGTAATTGTTTTATCAATCAGGTGTATACAGGTACAGTTGCATCTGTTAGTTTATTTCAGTTTTGGCGTTCTACTGTCAGATTTGCGATCGAAAGTGGAGGAAATCAGCGAATACCGCCTGCGCCGTGATATGACCGAGCGAAAACTGGAAACTGCATCAAAACCGGAAGAAGAAAAATTGTCCAAGTTGCAGGTGCAAATTCTCGACCTGACCAGCAAACTGCACAAGGTGCAGAACGAGTACGACACGGAAACCGCTCATCTGCGTATTCAATTGGAACAGTCAGAAGCGGATAGGAAGCAAATGGACGAGAATCTGAAACAGACCAACCAGCAAACGCTTCCTTCGGTTCCTTGAGATATCGCCTCGTAAAACACCCGTTAGTAGGAGTTAGTACGAGTGGTTACCCATCGGATGGGCAGATCGATGTACTGCGGCAGATTATTTCTTCCTTGAGGGCGGAAATTATCACTCTTAAAGGACAGCAAATTAAACAGGATTTGGATCAATTACTTCCACCGCTCAAACCCCGTCGCGAGCAGTTCGAGATCCTTTTACCGAGCGTCTGAATAAGCTGAAGCGCCAACAGTTGGAACTGGAAACGGAGAACCGGATGCTGTTGGCTAAAACTGTTGTTGATTTGAGTAAACCACAGGAGGAGCGGGACCGTCTAAGGAAGTTTAGGAGGACAATGGATGCCGAATTGCAGTTGAAATTAAGAAAGGTACGTTAATTGTCACGGAATGCACGATAAATGTCTATTGTGATAGATATCATTCTATTTTCAGATTCATACTGAGATTTCCGAACTTTCTGGCCCCGCACGATTTTTTGAAGATCGTACTCTTACGGATTGAGCGTTCTGTGTGCCGTTTAGTAATTTTCTGGATAGGAAGGCCACCGTTTTTAACCCAGTGATGAAAGACGAATGAGTTTTATTGTTTCTAAACTGTACTATGCGCTGGATTATTTTGTATTTGTGCTTCAAGTTTTTATTTGACGAACATCGAATGCGTCTGTATAAAGTTGCTGTAAGCGGTATTGCAGTGATCTTCATTAAGCTGTTTGCAGTTCATAATAAATTATGCGACTATCATACCGTTGCGTTGTCGCTTTTTTTCCATGCCTATGAGTAATGAATAGTATTGAATTCTGGCTCTTTTCATCACCCGTACAAACACGAACATTCGTACTACTTCTTAATGCTTTAATTTGACTATAAACAAACGAAAACGGTCGAATAATTTCTAAAGAAAGAAAAATCATAGTTTTGTGAAACTCAGGACGCAATCAGCATGACGCATTTGTACAAGATACTGACTATGGCCAACAAAATAGTCGGTGTTTGGCTAAGGTTTCGTTCGGATGCGCCGGTCTGTGTAACGGTCACGTTCCTGCAGATCTCCTTGTTCTGGACTTCACTATATCGTAGCACTCCAGTGGCCAGACGTAAGAGATATTACGCTGAATCATAACGTTGGGGCATTGTGGATCGGACAGGACCGGTAGCATGTCGATGCTGTCAACGCGGAACAGTTCTGGTGTCTCCAGCTCGCAGACTGGCTCGTGACGATGATACAGATACAGGTTCTGAGCTCGCGATTGCGCACATTGATCGGGATTGCTGCTTACGGGGGCGGCGACATTCCGGTCGAGAACAGGAACGGTGTTCGGGCCATATGTTCCCATTGCTAGTGACCCATACGGGGCGTTGTCTGCTGTATTAGACGGAGTTGGATACTGCTGCAGTAGCGCACTGCAATCAAGGAAATTTGTACTTTATGGAAAAATCGGTTTTAATTATGATTATGATGCGTACGTTGCTTATGATTATTCGCGATAACAGCAACAAGGTCACAAATTATGCGTTAACAAAGAGGTGTTCATAAATAAGCACGTGATTCTTCTATACGCCTATGGTAGGTAACGCTGGCTAGCAGTTTGGTTGTTATTAACAATTAACAAAGACCAAAAATGTTGGCCAAAGTTAGCGGAACGTTTACAAAAAGTTACATTTTAGAAATTTTTATAACAAATGTATTTATTAAAGCTGACCTTTCGCTACGGCTTAGCGTCGGCACGGAACCGGTATTCGTGCCCGCTCTGGCAACATTTCTTAGTGCTTGGATGTGTCGCAATTCCGGTGTTGAACCACAAAACTGGAAGCCGGCAATTCGAGGATAATATGAGAATATTGCTGAGTATGCTTCATTGTTGCTGCCGTATCCACCGGCTGTGTCCGAAAGCACTCGGGATGTATTGTATGTGCATTCCAGAAGAATTCGGTCACCCGGGAGAATTTGCACATGGTCGATATCGCGGAAAGGTTGGAAAGCGGAAGTATGAGCAAAGTCTTCGCTGATGACTTTCACCTCTTTTCCGTCACGAATCAGTCGTGTGCGTATTTGAATACCGTAACTGTTTGTTGTATGCTGAACGCTGGTTAATGTAATTCCACCGCCAGGAAAGTGCTAAACTTCAAATAAAATTAATAATATTAAAGATTTGAAAGGAAATTTCGTTCAGTATAGGCCTATAGGGGTCTATGGCAAACCGCCTTCATAGACCTCCATCCCTTAAAGTTAAATCGTAAAATAATCATTTCTTAAACTTTCTTTCAAAACTTTTTACTTATAAACTTTTCGTTTTCAAACTTAAAATGTTTTCTGCATTTTTTAAGCTATGGCGCGCACGGATTGTTTGAATTTACACAAAATAAAAAAACACCAAAACCCACAGGGGTTGCAAAATGCGCAGCACTTTTGGTAATTCCACAAAATGCTTTTCAAAATCGCCTCCTGGCATACAGTAAAGTGGCGTACGTCCAACCCATACTACTACAGGTAAGCGAAATTTTGCAGACTGGTCCAGGTCCAGACTTTTGATGTCCCTTCACGACGCAGTAACAGCAAACGAAGCAAAAGATTTCTCGTTCTCTGTTAGTGAGTGTTGTGTTATGATAGTAATTTTTGAGTTTCTGTATTTTAAGTCAGCGTTGTTTTTTCTTGACTGTTTTTTTAATTACAGTATCTCAATAAGTATCTGTTATCACATGAAATGCTTAAAGTTCCAAAAATTGTGCCAAAGTTTTTATTCCAGGTTTGTCGCCATTGAATTTCACGAACATGATGCAATGCACCGGTACTCTGGCCATTTATCTTAGCGTGGCGCTGTGCTTTTGCAAAAACATGACTGCATGCCTGTTATTTGCAGGAACTTCAGGTTCCCTCTTTCCTGGAGAGGGTTTTCAGCAATGGACGCCGTTTTGCGTAAGTGATTTCTAAAATCGAGTATCTAAAATGGAGCGCCTTCAGCTTACAACGTTTCACATGCAGTGCGATGCCGATCTGTATTGTGCTAAGGCAATTGTTGACGGTTAGATGGATAATTTAACATCATAATTAGCTCATATTTCCCAGCAGCTCTAGTCCAAGAAATTTTAAAATTACAGATGTAAATTTATGCGGGGTTTGAATGTGATGCTTTGATATTGAAGATGTTGCATTGCACCGTTATAGTTCTAAATTCCAGTTCAACGCTGCCACCCTGTACACCGTCAGTGTGGTTAAACCGTTTGTACTGAAATAGTGGCACGATGGCTAAGTTTCAGTTAATTTTTTTATTTATTCAGTATCCAAATGAATCGTCAGGTTTTTGTTTGTTGATGTGTCTTCATATAGTTTTCACTGCTTTCAGCTCCACCAAGGATAGCGGACCTGTCAAAGGTGCCGTCGTGGGAATTGATTTGGGAACGACCAACTCCTGCGTGGCCATAATGGAGGGCAAACAGCCAAAAGTGTTGGAGAACGCCGAAGGATCCAGAACGACACCATCCGTGGTGGCATTTACACCATCCGGCGAAAGACTTGTTGGTATGCCGGCCAAGCGCCAAGCGGTGACGAATTCAGCCAATACTTTCTACGCCACTAAGCGTCTAATTGGACGAAAATTCGATGATCCGGAAGTTCAGAAAGAAATGTATGCTGATGAAATTTTTCTTTTCTGCAAATGGATGCGTGATCTCTGATTGTCTTTATAGGAAACATGTCCCCTTTAAGATTGTTCGTGCCACGAACGGCGATGCATGGATCGAAGCGCACGGGAAAATGTACTCGCCCAGTCAGATTGGAGCCTTTGTGCTAATGAAAATGAAGGAAACAGCTGGTAAACTATGACGATACATTTCTTGCTTTCTGCCTTATCAGTGATGGTACAATTTTTCGTCAGCTGAAAGGACATTAATGTCTTGCGTGTGGAGACCGTAACTGAGATTCTGTAGGAGTAACTTAATCGTGAGTTTCCCTTGCTCCTTCATATTATTACGCATAATGGTTCTGCAGAGAGCTACCTTGGCACTTCGGTTAAAAATGCCGTAATCACCGTTCCTGTATATTTCAACGACTCCCAGCGCCAAGCTACAAAGGATGCCGGTCAGATCGCCGGTTTGAATGTGTTGCGAGTTATTAACGAACCGACCGCAGCTGCGTTGGCTTTCGGAATGGACAAAGTCAAAGATCAGATGTATGTGATTATTATGAAATTAAAAGTCAAATTAGTTATTCATTAAATGGCGTATTTACTGCATTCGTTTTAAGGCGGAATGAACTTGTGTCACGGTAAGTATTTGCTTTGTTGACTCTAATCTAGCAATTAATTCCGGTCTTCTCCACAGCATTGCCGTTTATGATCTGGGAGGCGGAACATTCGACATTTCAATCCTGGAGATTCAGAAAGGTGTTTTTGAGGTGAAATCGACGAACGGCGATACTTTCCTTGGCGGCGAAGATTTTGATACTGCCCTTTTGCAATTCATCGTTAAAGAATTCAAACGTGATGTGAGTACTGCTGTTAGTATCGGTTACCAACCAAGCTGTGCTTGCTTCTACAGCTGCGTTTTCAACATTGTATTGCTTCGGTTCTAGCAAGGCGTTGACATCACCAAGGACAACATGGCCATGCAGCGCCTAAGAGAAGCAGCCGAAAAGGCTAAATGTGAACTGTCCTCCGCCCTGCAGACGGATATCAATTTGCCGTATTTGACAATGGACGCCGCCGGCCCAAAGCATCTCAACATGAAACTCACGCGTTCGAAGTTTGAAAGTATTGTGGATCCTTTAATCAAGCGCACAGTCGAGCCGTGTCAGAAAGCCTTAAAAGATGCCGAAGTCAGCGTAAATGACATTGGGGAAGTGATTCTTGTCGGCGGCATGACACGAGTCCCGAAGGTAAGCTTTATAATCGCTAGTTTAGATTTTTGATTCTAAGTACATAATAATAATGGCTGACAATGGAGATGCTGTAGTCCAAAGACAAATTCAGGAATTTGAATAAAATTTTGCGATTTCGGGGCCGAAACTTTGGTAAATTGTGTATCACTGAATTACCCACTTCAGTTTTTCGTGTCTGCCTGGTGGTTGCAACCGGTGAAATACTATTATTTACAGGTGCAATCTACAGTGCAGGATGTATTCAAGAAAGTTCCCAGTAAATCCGTAAATCCTGATGAAGCGGTCGCTATCGGTGCCGCTATTCAAGGAGGTGTGTTGGCGGGTGAAGTGACGGATATTTTACTGCTGGATGTCACACCACTTTCGCTCGGCATCGAGACTTTGGGAGGTGTGATGACGAAACTGATAAATCGGAATACTACAATTCCTACCAAAAAATCTCAAGTGTTCTCCACGGCGGCTGATGGTCAGACGCAGGTGGAAATCAAGGTTTTCCAGGGCGAACGCGACATGGCTGCTGGGAACAAGCTGCTAGGACAGTTTCAGTTGGTAAGATATTTAATTGTTATATCGTTTTTTGCTGCTTACTTTCTCTAGTAAGCGCTTGCAAATGTTATTGCACGTGTATTATTATGATGATACCGGAATTACCGTTTGATTGTTGGTGATGACACCTCTTCTTGGCTGCTTTTTTATGTCTGATTGGAATACACATTTTCATATTGAAGTCGTATAGCTATGCGGAATTTAGATAAAGGTAGATTACCACTGATTTTTCTATGATCTAAATGTAGATTGGAATTCCCCCTGCTCCACATGGCGTTCCTCAAATCGAAGTCACTTTTGAAATCGATGCCAACGGTATTGTGCACCGTATCCGCCCGAGACAGGGGCACCGGAAAGGAGCAGAAAAGTATGACAGGAATTAAGTTCATTTATTGTCTAGTTTTACATCTGTTGTGCATTATGGAGAATCAAATTTTCATTACAGTTGTGATTCAGTCTTCTGGTGGTCTGAGTAAGGATGAAATTGAAAATATGATTAAGAAGGCCGAGCAGTATGCTGAGGAGGATAAGAAGAGAAAAGAAGTTGTGGAAGTGGTTAATCAGGCGGAATCAATTGTTCACGATACGGAAGCACGAATTGATGAATTCAAGAATCAACTTCCGGCTGATGAGGTACGTACGGCGTAGTAGTATTGTATTGGTTAGACATCACCTTCAGTCTGGTGAATGTCTGTAAACGCAGTTGAATCTTCTGCCCTGGGAGAAACATTACATTATATGGCATTATTGAATGATAAAACCCGGAATTACCGTTTGATTAAACAATGATACATGATTCTTGGCTGCTATTTTTGGTCTGATAGATAGTGCCTACAATCAGTTCGCCTATTCAGTTTGTAGTTGCTTTGTACCATAAAATTAATTAGAAAGTGCTTAATATACAAGTTATACTGGCAACTTTAAGGGTTTTTTTGCTGTTTCGAAAAACAGTTCTGTTTGCTGATTGTACGCTAATGTTCTGGGTTTTTTTGCAAGCACAAAAGCTCAGAGAGCAGATTGCAAATTTGCATGAAAAGTTGGCCAACAAAGAACACGAGAGTTCAGAAAATATTCGGGCGGCTACAAATACTTTATAGCAGGCTTCTGTAAAGCTCTTTGAAATGACATATAAAAAGGTGTGGCTTGACAGCTGTGGGTTTTTTGTATTAGCCAAAAAGTTGTGAAATATTAAGAGTCAGTGGTGCAGAATCAGTGATGCATGTTATGATAATAGTTCTGGGTTGGTTTTCAGATGGCGGTTGAAAGATCAGGCCGTCAACAGCAAAGCCGGGAAATGAAGAAACTATCATGGCGGAATGCGGATGTTCAAGCCGATGGGCAGTTTCAGGTTAAATGCAAATATTTCCAGTTGATAATAGTGATGTTTATTTTATATATCTAACCAATATTTTTATATCTAACCATTTTGGTCAAGTTTGCAATTATTGCGGATACTTTGGCACTGAATGCATTTCAAATTGATTTGAATATTAGATAATTCTGAATTTATCAGAATGTGCAGTTATGTTTTCAAAAATTAATGCGTTGGCGATAATTTTGTGCAGGCTCGCTCCGCCGGTCGCATGCCCCTCTGGATAATCTGGAAGAGAATAGCCAGGAAACACGAAGAGAGTCTGAACAGCGAAAAAAAGAGGCTTTTGATTGCTTCCAATCGCTTGCACGATTCACGGCTCGCACTGCGAGAAGCGTACGATGCGCTCCATGGTCGGGGCATATTAGAAGAAACCGAAAGCTTCCTAGCTGCAAAATGTCCGCCGCATTTGGCTTTTATGCTGAAATCGAAAAAGGTACGTGCTGGCGCTAAGGTTTATCTGTTAAAATAAAGTGCGCGTATTAACATCTCGAATTCGCATTGGGTTTCAGAAACAACGTCTGGAAAGGGGGCTGCTCTGGAGGGCATTCGTGGAAATCTACGAAACGATGCTCTTGGAGATTAGGGTTGAAAACGCGAGAGTCTTCGACCAGGCTTTCATAAAACGGATGCCGGAACTGGTCCAGGGAATTTGGAAATCCCGCAGCGCTCGCATCCATGAATTCCCGTTGATTAGAAACCGACGTCTGTTAGACTGCCGATTTGCAGATGCTGAACATACAAACCTTCTTGTGGGGTTTTGTGTGTTATTGCAGAAAAATTTTATTTTATTTCTGGAAAATGATATTATTGTCTCTCGTTGTATATCTGAAGGAGATGTCAAAACAGAATCCGTTGAGTTTGATGCTGTAATGTGATAAAACTTGACCATGACGAGTTTCGTACGTCTAAGATCGTTTACGTCGTTGAGATTACATAATGATGTGCACCAACAATGGATGAATAATTATTGTTACTGCAGTTAATACGAACTCCATAGTGAAACAAAAAACTCTTGTCGGTCTGCTGGCGCAGTGGAGATGAAAAGGGCACTTAACGGAGCAGCAATTTTCGGTTACTGGAATTTCATGAAACCAACTTTCTTTCCCATATTGGGCACTTAAAAACTAACATCTGGGATTGTCATAATATTCTTTTTACCATTAACACAATAATCTTTGATGGTCACTGGTCGAACAACTTTAAATAATTGCCACTTTGCCGCGGGTTTCTCAGTTTTATTATATGTTGAGTTTAGTTTCGACGTAGGTTCATTCCGGGCGCTCAAGTAGTGTACGCGACGAAATTTTGTGCGGATGTAAGTTCCGTAGACTGGTTATTAACTACATCCGTAACAACCGTGACGGCATAAGGTAAAAAAACTTATGTTTAGGAGAACGGTTAGGCCGATTTCAACGCGGTCAAGTGCGCCAGAACCGTTGCAACGACGCGGTGGATGTTAAGCTATTACCGAGACGATGCCCTCGAGAACCATGGGCAAGGGATTTCAACGCGGTTGCAACGAAGTTGTTACCATGGGCACGGTTAGGCCGATTTCAACGCGGTCAAGTGCGCCAGAACCGCTGCAACGACGCGGTGGATGTTACGCTATTACCGAGACGATGCGCCTCGAGGGGAACAAAGGGCACCGGAAAGGAAAGTTGTTACCATGGGCCTCCATAGACATACATGAACAAGTTGTTCCCATGTGCGTAAATGACACGACACGCCTCGGCCAGCGGCCTCGATGCAAACAAAAAAATAAATTGATCAACAAAAGCCGACGTCGATAAATGGTTACGGATGTAGTCCTCCGTAAACTGGTAATCTACATCCGTAACCACGTATACACGATTGATAATGTAGCCAATGTTTGGGCGAACGGCTGAACGGATTTCGACGCGGCCAAGTGCGTTAGAATCGTTTCAACGGCGCGAAAATTCTTACGCTATTACGGAATCGATACGCCCCAAAAGGGAAGGAGTAGCCCCAAAAAACAAATTGCTGCCATGGGCCCCCCAGACATATTTGGGTAAATGCTTCGTCTTTTCGCGGACCGTTCGGAAAAACCGAGGCAGACCGCGGCATCGGCACGTACGAAGTATTGAAAATTTAAGAAACATGTGCAAAAATTAATCGCAGTCAATCCCACCAGCGTGATCGATATACCTCGTATTCTTTGAATCTTTCATATACGATATTTCTTAGATTTTTTAGGTTTCTTAGGATTCTTAGGTTTCTTAGGTTTTCTTAGGTTTCTTAAATTTTCTTCTTTCTTAAATTTTGTAGTTTTCTTAACGGCTGGGACCGATGCGATCAACCGTTGCGAGGTGTGCATTGCATAACAAACTTGCGCCGCAAAGGTTGTGTACGGATGTAGACCCCGTAACCTGGTCATATGAATACTGTACATCTCTTGCAGGTTTTCGGCCTCTCGTCTTTGTTACCTATGATCTCAGCTTCCACTGAGCCGCTTTTGCAGCTTTAAATTTTCACAGAATCCTTTCAAAACGTAGAGTAAAACAAAGCTAATGGTTTTTTCACTCTCGGAAGTGGGGATATGCGAATATTTTGCGCCTTAAGATAACAAGGTAGCCCCCAAAAAACGTCTTGTTGCTATCGGCCTCTATAGACATACATGGAGTAATGCGGAACGACAAAGAAAGACCGCGCCCTTCGGCTTCGCTTCGCTAACAATTCATGAAAAAGTGTAAAAGCGCGACAAGATAAAAATAAAAATGCGATTTCTTAGCTTTCTTAGATCTCGATCTCTTAGAATTCTGAGGTTTCTTAGCTTTCTTACTAATAATTAACAGTGTTTCTCAAATATTCGCTATTGTTATCTCATTGTACGGAGATACAGGGATGGCAAAGCGGTAGTACGTACATAACGCATACTGTATTAAAAACAAAATCAGTTGATCTTGTAGTTTATAAATGTTTACCTGTCATGTTTTACAACGATCTGGTGATCTATAACTCGGGATCAGATTCTGTATAAAGCCGAATATTAACTGCATACGAGCAATATAAAAAGTATTTATTCAAATTTCAGCTAGTCCATTACGAATATAGTGGTTGAAAAGGTTATTGACATTGTCGGGACAACGATCAGTGGGGAATTCTGTTTATTATTTAGTAACTGGTAGGTATGCGTTATTACACACTAATATTATATTACGGGCGCAATGTATACTTTGTACAATGCTCAGATTCAGACATTCGGGTATCTTCCAACGCTTGGGTAGGTTTTTTGTGCATTATGCGCAGTAGATAACGGCTGGTAACGTGTGTTATCACGATCCGGAGCTTATCTACGCTCTGAATGGTCAAAACAACTATACCGCACGTATTTATAGGTGGTAAAATGTTGTGACACCATAGTGACCATACATTGTACGTTAACAACGCGAGCGTTCCTAACTTTCCATACCATTAGATTGAAAAATGAAAATGCATTGTCGTATTTAATAGCAAGATGTTGTTAGCCTTCAGTTTCTTATGATGACCTTGTACCCGTTAAACTGTTAATTGTTAACGGAAAGAAAATTGTCAACTGTAAGAAAACTATTATAGAAAACTGTTACCGGAAAGTCGAGCAAAAGAGCTCCGTGAAACTTTAACACGGTGGAACCAGCCTAAAGGAACACTGACCGTTTTATGGCTTGCACGTATTAATTTTTTCAGGTTGCTTCGTTGCGGCGTTTGTGGCCGGCACAGTTGTGAGGGAAGAGGACTGCCGGCGTATTTGTTCGCCGAAAGCATGCTCGAAACTCAAATGCCCCTTAATTCCGACTGCCCTATGTGTCAATGACGTTTGTGGAAGCAGTGCCTTTTTTATTCAGCGGCAAGGAAAAAACCTAATCGACGTGACGGATTTTTGTGGACAACGTATGGCAGAGTGTTTCTGTGCTAAATCCGTTTACTACTGAATGCTAGCAGTTTAATGAAAGCATTTACAAATTACAGGCATGCCGGAATTTGCCATCCACAGGAAGTCTCGATGCATCAACTGGGCAGTCACAAGCATCCAGCCAGCCTGTCATCAATCAAGCTCCACTGGCGAATACTATACCGTCTGTACGTACGAATACATCAAGTGTCAGGCTAATTCAATCAACGAAAGCATCGTGCAAATTGCTATTTATGTTTTTGGCAATAAATATAAATCCCATAGCAATGATTATTTCAGGGTTGTCGATCTGTTTGCTTGAATGAATGGGATGTGCAAGACAACGATCGCGGGGACGCCGCCGGGCTGTCTTAATGCTCCAGCACGTTTAAGTCCCTGGACCTTTAGTTTTAAAATCTAAACAAAATGAAATGCGATCTGGATACTTTTTTAGGTCACAATGATACATCCCACCTGTATATGTCTGTAATTTTTTAATTACGAGGGCTACTCGGAAAGTAATGATAATTCGTGCATAATTTTATGATTATTAACTGATACTGATTATCATTACTTTCCGAGTAACCCTCGTATTTAACGCGTGGAAAATGTAACTATTAAATTTCTACGTGATGACGGTAGGTCACCGGTGAATGCACGGTGCCTGTGTCGCTGATTTAATTGTATCTCGCAGTCTTGTAGTTTTAGAAGCTTTAATCTATAAAAGTCAAAAGCTCAAATACAGCCGATTCCACCAAATACCAATTATAAACATGAAAATTGCAATAAAAAAGAATCTATTGCACAGATATAGTGTTAGCTGCACATGAGGCAATACTGGTAAAAGGAAAAACTATGGAATACAGGCTGACAATTAAGCGGCAAAGTGGCAAACCAACATAAAGCCAGCCAACTGGATCACATATGAAGCGAGGATAGAGATGCTTTGTCCATGTTGATATCGAGCGCGCATTCGTTAACTTTCCCGAAAACGGATAAATACTGCGTCGTATACAGTGGATGCTGGCTCTCGGTTCTCCGGACCGGTTTGCGAGTGCATCTGGCTCTCATTCGGTAAATCAGCACGACAACAAAAAAGCACACGCACAACACAAAAACCGCCACAATAATCACAACGATGATGATCCACACTGGACTGCTCGCCCGAATCGAAACTAAGGCCGTCTGCTCGTCATTACAATACGTCAATGTCCCGTCGGGATCAGCACACGCTAGAAGCAATCCGAAAGCATCACTAACTCAACTGCTATTTCAAATTTTGCGAAATTGTAGTTTTTACCTGGTGTCTGAAACGTTATGGATACAGAGGTCTGGGCATCACCGCTGTCAGCGGTAATTTTAACATTGTAAACGGCGTTGTATTTCAGCTGATGCAAGGAGATCTAGAAAACAGAACAGATATCGATGAGCGTTCCGGAAACTGAAAACCGTACTCCTCTGCGTTCTTTCGTATTTTTACCCGATTGTCCTTGGGATATACCGCAACACTGCCGCTGTTCTCTTGCGCCAGCCACGGCTTATCGTAGGAAATGATTTCTCTGGATGTCCACGCGATCGTCACGGACATGTTGGAAAGATCAACGTATGGATTAGAGGCATCCAGCGTAAAGTGAGCGGATACCGAGGTATCGCTCGCTGCAAATGATAACAAAAATTTCGCAACTGAATAAACCGGAAACAGCATCGCTTATTTCGCACATGTGTTTACGCTGGGGACAATGGTCAGTCTAAACGGAGCCCTCAGCCTGAAAACGGAATCCGCAACTATAGTCGAACGGTTCACCACCACGACTCGTAAATCACATCCTCCATGGCATTTCGAAGCAACAGGCAGAGAGATGTTGTAAAGGAAATTCACCTCCTGGATAAAAGAGATTGAGTATTCCATATAAAAACAATTTGTAATGGATGTTTCAGAATTAATCTGGCAATACGTACAATTATTGAGTAAGCGAAGTAAAATGAAAAACCAAAGTGCATTTAAGCTTTTCAACAATATTAACATTAATTAATACCGGCATGAACCAATCCATTCTCACCTGTGACAACTGAATCCAAGTCCCGTTGGAGTCTTTGAAAGACACACTGAATATCAAATGTGGCTGCGGCGCAGCGTACTTATTTCCATGCTGATCCACCACGGTCGTATTAATCCGAACGACAGAACCGTCCAAAACCGCGCTGGAGATAACACGCCAGATGGGGATGTATTCTGGAAGATTGGAAGCCGTTGAAGCAACCCGATTCCCTATTCATATTACTTATCGCCTTGCGAACCTTGCCCGCTTTTTCCCTGTTCAATGCCTCCGTTGTTGGGGCGATGTTTCCCACTCTGACCGACGAACGAGCGAGCCCGACGACATCCCGCATACTGCATCCATATCAACAGATCAAATTAGCAGTTTAAACAGTTACGTAGGAAATGACAGCACGAGCAGCAAAATCCTGTTAACTACAGCGCACTGTGTAGATACTGGATAGGTACCATGTCGCTAACTTACGCAGTCATCGTCCGAAAAGCACACTGGCCATCTGGGCAAAGGATTGAAATGAGCGCAAGCGCATTCATCCCAACACTGCAAAATACAAACAGCACGTTACAGCGCCCCAACTTATATCATACAAAGCGCACAAAACTGAGTACACTGTCGCTTCTTTTTACAGATGTCACTTCTCACTTACACTTCCGCATTCCTGGAATGGTCCGATGCAGCCCTGCACAGTGGTTGTTCCAAATATCTTGCCTAGCTGTAAGCAAAAGCAATTTCTGCAATTTGTGCGGCCAGTATCACAAACAGGGAATAAATTTCCTTTGGCTTCCTTGCCAGATGACCTTTATTCAGCACATGAAACTCCAAAATCAAATTATTGCTCCGATTATCAGCACTCACAGTATCCAAACAGTCAGCACGGCACAGGGCCGCTGGTGTCCAGTCGTCAGCCAAACGACTCATATCGACAAGAAACACACCCGTCCCTCCAACACGCTCAAACCCGAAGTAACAGAAAAACAGAGATGCCAGAATGAAAGTGCTGGGAATCATGTTGGTAAATATAAAAAACGCCGGAAAATAAACAAACTTTTCAACAACAAAAAACTGGCGCGAAGGAAAACAAAACGCAACAAAATCGAATGATGATAGTGCAGTTCGATGACTGAAGCTACAGATGCTTTTGGAATCGGTTACTTATGAAGTGCGTGCTGATAGCGATAGGATAGATATGTCGTAGCTATCTTGATCATTATCTCCAAACACCACTATAGTACTGTACAAGTACAAAGCATAGAGCCAGTGGCTATTACCACTTGCGGATGAAAAAATTAATTGGCCATGATTGTACTTATTACACTTACCATTAGTTAATTATAACTTCTCCAAAACGACATCAGGATTTGCATACGACACTCGTATCCGGGTTTCCAAAAAGAAAAACTGTTGTTTTTTATTTCCATATGCCAACAATACTGTTGGCAACTGGCATATGGTCATCTTTTAGCGCAACTCAATACAATAAATCCTGAGGATTACAAACTGGGCACGCCAAAGTCGGCAATCTTTTCGAGGAAGCAAATCACTACTTCTAAAATAATATATGTAAGTGCATGTAAAGCATGCCCGCCAAAAACTCCATCCCAAGTTCTAAGGCGGAGTTCAAATCTCATAAAAAATTTATATACATAGTATCACAAAAAATAACTGTTACAAATCTAAAAGCCACAACAGCAAATACTGACAAATCAGACATCGCACTACTGGTTATTAAAATACAAAATTTGAGAATTCAGAAGTGGAAGAACAGGATTAAGCCCCAGCATAATCAATTCCGGCATCAGAACCATAAGAGTAAGTAGTACACATGAAATTGTGCTCGATGGCACATACAGTATAAATACGAGTATCTATATTTGTACACAGCCAATGTGCAACTATCACAACTTAAAGCATTATCTCCGTTGTTCGGCCGAGAATACTGTACTTACAGTAAGTAAGGCCACGTCATAAATGCAAAGAAGGAAAACGAAAACTGACAGGTGAAGCTTATAACACGACAAACTCTACCGATTCCTCAATTTCTTTAACCTTGGAAGAAGAACTAGTACTCGGAACGGTTTCGGGAGTTTTAAAAGGGATAACGGAAGACTGCACAACTGCGTCCGCTTCAAAAGATTTGAGATCCAAACCCTGCCGGTCGTAGTCAGAAATACGACCATCCGAAAACGTAAACATTGGAAAATCTTTACAATACAGGGTTTGAACCTACAGACAAATAGAAAATCAACCTTTAAAAATGTCCAACTTAACAAAACACGTAAAAATAACTTGTTCATAGCTATAACAATTTAACAAAACGCTTGTAAATATTCTTTGAATGAGGGGCAAAACAGAACAATAATCTACAATAATAATCTTAAGAGAAAATAATAATTTTGCAACTTAAGATTCAACGGTGAGATATCTGTAGAATTACGGAACGACTTAGCAGTTTTATCTGTTCATACTTCGGAGACAGTTCGGATAAAATCCTCATATTCGTCACGATCCCGGCAATAAAATCCTAGCGTGCACGAAGGGTCCATATTTTCATCGCCAGTTTTCGAGGAGAGGAACAATGATAGCTCTATCAGAGCAAACAGAATACAAAGTTGAGAGTGGCAGCACAGCATTGACAATAAGAACAAATCTATACTCACATCAAGTTTAAAGTTTCTCTCTGAAACGTCTACTGTATCCTGACAAAAATGCGGATCCAAATAAATAACGCTATTGTCCTGCCAGCCAACGAAGTACAGACTGTGTCGCGGTCGCCCACCGATAATTCCAATCGAGTATTTAATCGTCAGAAGATTCCGTAAACAAGGAAGATAAACCGGGTTGATGCGACCTCCACCGAGACGCACAGGAACCAGTATTATCAAAGCCAACTCTGTCCCGGTTGACAAACCCTTCGCTTGTATGTCCCTTATATCTCCCTTAAAAACTAACACCATCGCATATTACCAAATGAAATGCACAAAGTTAAAATCTGGTCCTCACTCGTGCAATCTTGTGCCACGTACACTTGAATATCCTTTAAAAGCGGGTTGGTTTCTCTTGCGCTCGTCATCGCTTTTCTGTATAAAGCAACAAAGCCATTGTTATACTCATGACAACTGGTTATCATGACAAACAAGCCAATACTAACCGAATTCCATTACAAAGTTCACTCATAATTATAAATGTTTGATGGATTATCGTTTTGCCAAACTAAGCGCGGACAGCTATCGATCACATTATGAATTACAGAAAAAATTATTGAACCATCAAACTGCTATCGAAAAGAATACATCCAAAAATACGGAAAAACAAAGTAACGGTAGTATATCAAATATTCACTTTAAATAAACATTACAGAATACAGCTTAGACTGTGCAGATGTATCCCATATGGTGTTTTCTTACTGTACAATGTGGGCGACACTCCCCGGTCCATACCAGTCGCCAGCCCGTTTGCCGCACTTCTGACCAACAGCCACTAATTTATGTAGCCCAAATAACTGGTCATGGGAGGAAGAATCACCACACCATTTTACAATTTGTCGGTGATATACTTCTTGATCCCTTGTATTGCATTCCTTATCCCAACGCCAATCTGGACACGAAGAGATGTTTAGAAAATACTAAAACACCAACAGACAAAATCGCAGTATCCAGCTGTTACCGCGTTTCAGGAAATGAAGAACAAGGGCTTCTGATAACATCATTTGACCACTAAAAACGAATTAACATAGACTCTCCTGGTCACATCAACCGGAAATATAAGTATATAAATGTTGCACTGTATGTGTAAGTACCTTCGTAGCATACAGCCCCAACCACAATCACTTGTTAGTGTAGTGCCGGCAAGAGCAGAGAAATCTCGCCGATAGGTGAACCACAATCGAGTTTTAAAATCCTTTACAAAGCTTTTGTAAACAGCCGCTTTTTCTTCGCCTAAAATTTTAGCATTCGCAAAATTATGGTGTGTACGGTGCATCAAATTTGGCCTTTCTTAAACTCCTTACTGTGTGGATTATTCCCGGCTGTATAGATCTCTCCAAAAATCCAAATGGAAGATTTCAAACTGAGATGAACTTTAGGTTTTACGTTCCAACCTTTTGATCAACACATTAAATTTAAACTCTCTGTTAAAAAATTAGGCAGATCCGAAATACCGTATTTAACATTGTTCCAAGCGGAATTAATGTAGTCAACCAGTTTGTCGCCGCTGGTTGGATTCATGATAAAATCCTCGCCACCCACAATTCCAATGGTACGATTCTGTTTTGACACGTTCCGCCGCGTCCTCCTCTGATTTTCCGTATTTCGATAATGATATGGCGGCACAGACTTGACAATGGGCGAATCACCAACTGTTGACAAACTTCGTCCTTTTGAGAACTGCGTTCGTGCAGTGCGGGAATCACTCTCCGAGACGCTAAGTCGTGTTCGTGCTATGCGCAAATGTCTAGGCAGCGCAGTTACATTTTCCTCGGATTCCACGGTTGTGCTTAAACGGTTTTCGTGATTAGCAACTGCAAACAACAGTCGAAACAGGTAAGTATTCATTTCTATTGTCTTATGTCACATTTAAATAATCCCCTGCTAGTTTAGCAATGACACCAACACCAAGCTAAGTAATCAGACCTACTGGAAGAATAAATAATGTAGTGAAAGTGAGAGTAAAAGAATAAAAATGCTTAAGAAAATAAACAAGTCACGGATGATTGTGCATTCGTGCATGTATTATCATTATTATCAATAATTAAAAGTTTTGGCATTTCTAAATAAGGATGCGCTCTTACCCGCTTCCATTACAAGTTGTGTACCTAATTTAAAATTACAAAACAATATGGATGCGCGGTAGTTCAGTGAATGCCAAAGGAAAGAAGTCCTAAAAACAATATAACTATCCCGAATGGTTAACGCTGCAAGAGCGACAATAACAATCAACGCTTCCAGAGCTCGCACTCGGCGCAGCTTACCTGCAGATTCCGTTGCAGCGGTTAAATCCGCAACCGAGGCCGGATCAAGCGAACCATTAAAAGATCTCCCATCACGGCCCACAGTTTGTTGGTACACTTCATTTTTCTCCATTAAGATTTCTTGCGTTCTGTGCAGTTCCAAGGAGCGGCGACTATGTGGTCGCAAAAAGCGCACAAGTCTTGACTTGAGATCGGAAGACTTTTTACTTTTGGTATTTCTGGAGTATGACCCAGTGCTGGATGTACGCGAATGGGGAAGAACGGGGACACTTCCCGGATGCACATCCTCCCACGAGGACTCCATCTGACTAAGGTTGGTGGACGCGTTTGTGTCAATGCGCGCTCGTGGAGATTGCGTGTTTGCAACATCATCCAAGTGAATTTCCTGCCAGTCCTGCGAATCCCTCTTTTCTCCCAAAGTGTTATCCATTATCGCGGTCAGTGACGCAAGCTGCATGAAGCAAGATGAAGTATCACGACATAAACTGGTCAAATTATCATCAATATTATCATGACAAGCTCAAGAACTTCGAAAACTGATAAGATACCTTGTCAATGCGAGTTGTGCATTAGCCTTTCCTGATTTTTCCAACAGAATACATTTTCAGGCACCTGCGGTAGCATAGTACAGGAATGGGGTGCAACGAAATATAAACACATAGCCGATGAAACCATTTCGATCTGAAAAATTAAATTAAAAGAAAAAGAGAGCAGATTCACTGCACTACAGTTTATGGTTAGTTTGTAATGCAACAGCTGATCGTCATGCAAATAAGTACAGCTGTATCGTACAGCGCATTGTTAACACTGGACGCCCACTGCAGACCAGTTTATGTCAAACTGCCCCATAGAGCAGTATGTTAACTGATCGTGATATCTCGTCCTTTCTCCGAAAACTTTTTGCTTGCAAAATTTCTGTTTTCCATAAAAAAAGTTTTTCTGCATTTTTTAAGGTATAGTTTGCATAGATTGAATGAAACAGAAGGCTCTTAAACCGAACCTGCAAGGGCTGCTAAGTTCGCAACAGATAGCTGGCGCACGTATTTTTCGTAGCTAAAAAGCTTTCCTGGCATGTAGAGGGGCATTTGTTACACCATGTCTGTAGATCTGACACGAAATGTTTGTTATACGAAAACTTCTTATGTCTTATGTCATATTCGTAAATCTTATCGCAGGTGCTTTACCAACCTTTGTTCGGTCAGAACTCCGAAATTTAGTTGGTAACAGTTTTAATAAATTCTTCCATATTGGCACAGCAAACAAACTACCAGCAACGAAGTAATTCATTATGAGACGCAAATAAAATATGATCAAAACCCAAAACCATAAGCGGCAAAAACGTCGGTCAAGAACAAAGATTTTATAATTCGAGTTATCTGACCAGACTTTCTTAATACTATCCCAAATGCAAACCACACGAAGTCCTTAGGAACTCAACAGTAAAGGTAAAAGTAAAACAAAATATAAAACAAGTTCAAGATCGTGGCACATTTAGAAACACTGAGCAATACAGTTCTCGTCCACAGATTCACGCAATAAATAATAACACTCTGTAGCCGAGCAAGTACAACCGTCATGTCAAGCTGTGATACTGCTTGTTGGGGTCCGGGTTTTGCGGTTACCGGTAATTGCATTCGTAACGGGTATCACTAGGAGGCTAAGGCCTGCCATAGCCATGAGAATTCCAAAAACAATGAAAGCAACCTGCATACAATGGCATACGTCAATCATATTACTGACAACAAAATTAACAACAAACGTGTTACCGTATAATTCCCTCCATGAGCATCGGTAATAGAACCTGTAGAGAAAAGTAAACAGCTATAACTTTGTATAACCAATGGCAGCTACAATATGTCACTTACCAGCCATTGGAGGCCCTACAAAAACTGCGGCTCCCTCAATAAATAACAATATACCAAAGGCAGCGGTGAGTTTTTCTAAACCGACGATATCGGTCAACACAACGGACTGCAACGCAATAATAAATCCTAAAAGACAACAAATACCGTTAAGGCAAAATAATTGTACAGAAGTAAGAGAACAGACGTCACAGTTTGCAGTTCTCAACAACTACTTACCGCCGGAGAATCCATATACGATGGAATAAAACACGAATAAATAATACGTGTTACATAAAACAGACAATGATGTTGCAGCTCCGGCAATAAGGCAGAATACACTGTACAGAATCATCCTACAGAAAAACAGTACTGAGTAATCAGACGGAACCACTTCAATCAAATTATTCAGATTAGCTCTGCTGCTTTTGCGAACCTGTTTACGAAAGGCCGATCGGAAATGGCACTGGATGTCAAACGGCCAACGAGATTTGCGAATCCAATATAGGAAATCAGCTTTGCCGCGTCGTGCTTCAGGATTTCAGCCTCCACTTCCGCTCGATGCGGCAAGTATGTGTAAGGTATGTAACTACTGATTCCCCCTGGAAACACCACTTGTACATGTACTGTTTACGTAACCCTATTGAGCAAGCAGCAGAAGTACCCACCAAAGAAAGCTGTCAGACAGTAAACCCAAAATCTCCACTGTCTCATTAAATCCATATCCAACATTTGCGCGATCCGGTTTCGACGCCGATTTGTTTGAGCATTTGCTGAATTATTCTGGTGCAATAGATTATCAAGTTCTTTCTGTTCCACCGCCACTGGCTTGCTCTTTCTCGCACCTCGCTTTGCAGCAATTACTTCGCCTGGCGTCGGTCGCAGCAAGGCCGCAAAAATACAACAGTTCAAGATAATACCGGCATATAACAATAAACAGCCCCAAAGTGAGTATTCTTCCAATAAATAATTTGACAACGGAGCCATCACAATGGTACCAAAGCCGGTACCACAAACTGCAATTCCTACTGCCAAGGCTCGACGTTTTTTGAACCAGGTGGCGACGCTGACAACAGCCGGTAAGTATAGAAATCCGAAGCCAAGACCTGAAACAAAACAAAATATTCAAATCGCAGTTTCCAAATTACCATAAAACCATACTAGGGATCCAACTTGCGCACCCGTAATAAATCCAAACGTTAAAGTTAAATGCCATGTTGCAGTAGCAAAACAGCTCAACAAAGCTCCACAAAACGCAATCAAGGCGCCGATAAAGGCAACAGTCCTTCGTCCCAGACGAATAGCTAGAAAACTTGGCAAAGGTCCTGAAAAAGGATGAACATATCTGTACAGACATCAGCTTTGGCTCAAAGTATTTCGTGTCTTGAAAAAAAGAACGAAAAGCTAGGTGGAGTAGCACACGATGGTGATTTCCAGATTATGCATTTAATTATAAAATTCTATGGAGCTGTCCAGTATTCCGGCTCCACATACCGCAGCCGTACGTAGTGCCGATCAAAATCGATATTGTCCAGGAAGTATCGCTTTTTGTACCACCGAATAAATCAAGCAGCTGCGGAAACAAAACTCCAAAAGAATACGAAACTCCATCCACTATCAAATGGATCATGAATACCGCAAAAATAATAACCTGCAAACATGAACCACATTAAACTGTATTTCAAATTGTGGAATAGCAAAATTAATATCAAAGAAAATTAATACATAAGAAGACAATTATAAATCTAATAATTCAAGAAACAACTGCCGCCGTTAAAAAAATTAAATTAGGGGAACCCAATCGGCAGTGTCGTTTAAAAAAAATCAAACGAAACAAAACACCAAACAACTGGAGAACTGAAAATTCTGAACTGGAGAACTGAAAATTCTGCAAATCAAACACCAAATTCAAGTCACTAATGTACAAGGTACTGAATAGTGAATACCAATACTAATTATTGCGCTAATGATGACGCGAAATAATAAATTTTAAAATTTTGCTCCTATGATATTTAAAGTAAACCGAAATTCACGAAATCAAGAATATCGAGCACAGTCAAAATTCAATCCGGCAGTAAAAACATAAACAAACAAATCACAGTGAGACATTACACTTCGAACGTCGCCGAGACGCCGACTCACCCAGCCGTAGCCACCATCCGGCGCTTCAGGCTCTAAAAGTACGGGTTCTTGCCCAGGCGTGATGAGGATATCTTCTGCTGCAGTTTCCGCAACAACAGCTTCTTTATCCCCGTAGACATGCTTCACTTCTTCATCTTCGATAGCATTATTCACTGATCTCACAGGCACCGCCTGTGAAGTCTTATCAGGATGTTTGTTATCCATATTGTTGACGTTCACTGATATTATTTGAGCGCAGCAAACCGCTTCAATGCGAGCAGATAGCAAAATCAAACGGTGTCGAAATCAACAGGATTCCCGACAATTACCCACAACAATTAAACAAACAAACCCAAACACCAGTGATGCCGGTAGAATCGTTAGCATTTCATCAGCACGGCATTTTACAGCGCCATTTCAATTGCTAGCATGATTGCAGTATTTGTTCGAGGAAGTACCGCCAGCGCTCGCGCAGTGTAAACAGCACCATATAAAACCGTTGATTATTCATCGACAAACCATCGGCAGACTGACACTGGAAGGCATGCAAAGTCCGATATCCAGGCAGCAATGTACAGTATGATTGGCAAACTGCGAAGTATCGAGCTGATCAGCTGAGAGTAGCCTGTAATGTTTCAAAGTTACGAGTTAATTTTAAATCCCCCGCAATAATCCTTAAGTCTGGTTTCTTCTCCAAATGCAAAATCAAGAGCGCCGCGCAGTGCTGCCTAAACAGCGCGATGCTAAAAATCAATGCTGCTATGCCGTTACGCATCGAAGCGTTTTAACGAGTACAGTCAATGCTGAAAACTTATCTCCATACAAAACTAATCGCACATTCGTAAATAAAAACAATTTATGTTTAGAAATTCTCGGGACATAAAATTTTACGCACTAATTGCAAAAAATGCCGCGCATATTGCACACAATAGCGTCTGCGTGCTTTTGGCAGGCAGGCTGTCGAGACTCGAGAGTAGAGACAGTCGAGTTCGGTCGGCTTTTAGCTCCACCGAAGGGGACGGCAGCCGTCAAGATTTTCGGCCAATGATCGCCTTGACCGGAACACGTTCCAATCCATTCACAAATCTAATCAAACTAAGCCGCTGCCCAGGCTGCAGTTGATTCTGCAATTTACAACAGCCAGTCGCTCGCTGCTTTCTCTGTTCGGAACCTACCGGGTAAAAGTGTTAAAATTTGCTTATCGCGCATGATCTCGGACACGACTGCCGCATATTTATGTATCGCTCTACAGCTCATGATCGTGGATTACCGTGTTATCGGGGGTGATGTTTACATCGTTACCGTCTTGCAAATTTAGAATCGTAACAACTTGAAGCCTTTGCCGTGCGGGCTTTAGCGGCGATCCTGCGGCGCTGATTTTATCCGTATTCTTATTGACTGTTATGCGCCAGTTGTTCGTTTTGTTTATAAATATATCAGAAGTGATACGGGAGCGTTTCTTTTGTATTCGTTCAAAATGTGTTGAGTGTACTCGTTTGCCATTTTTGCCATGAGTTCCAGGACTATCGTGAACTAGCGGCGACGGTATTTCCAATCTATTCGAGGATTTTATAAATCTCGTTTGATGAGATAGAGTTTGTGAAGATGGAAGATGTCCGCAGGTTTACGACAAACCCCGGCATAGTCTGTATTGTTATGTTATGCATTATCAAAGTTGCGTACTCCACATGTCCTGAAACGACCGGCAGACAAATGTGGTGTTTTGGCGCGGAATTAAACCGGATTTCGAATATAATGTATTATCTGAAGGAGACGTCCGATATTGAAATGCTGTACGTAAGAAACTACGAATGCATGAAATTAGTGTTTGTAAACGGACAATTTTCGTGGTAACAGTAACTTCATAGTTATAATAAGAGTGATTGTGCGTAATAAGAGTGATCAGAATCGTAAGTAATCGACGCATTATGAAGCTGATGGATAAAATGCATCCACATGGCACATTTAAAGTTCATCCATGTGTTCAGTAATAATACTAACTATAGATAAAAATTTTAGACCAATAATATTTTCCCATTTACGTTTTTTGTTTTGCTTTCAGTGACATCAGCTGGAATAATATTAAAAGAATCCATCACGAAGACTTCACGGATAGTGATAACACGGTGGTTGTAACCAGGCGGTTACTGCATTTGTAAGTTTAAAATCACTTAGTAGTAATTAATTAAAATCTGATTTTTTCTGTTTTTGGTGAAAGTATTTTAAACTAACCGTAAATGTAAATTATGCAGGTTCTGTTTAAAGTGATGTGGGAACAAATGCATGCGCCTGGTTTCTGTAGCGATTACTTTCCCCATTTCGTTTAGAACAAACATGATGTGCTATTGTGCTGTAAATGTAAACGAGTGCATAAGAGCGAACCAGATTCAATAGAAGTAGTAATACTACAACCGTTTCGAAATACACAAATTATGCTGGAGTTTTTGACTATGATACTATTTGTTGCAACCTGCCGCAAACCGGCACCATTGGGCCATGATAAAAACCGCGGTACCCAAAGCCGCAGTATGGTATAAGAAAAACGCTTTAATAGACAATGCATCAAATGAAAAAATGTTGATACCGGCTTAATTAACCATTTTATAATTTTGGGGTCAAAATGCTCTGTAATGCCGGACACTCGCACTTGTTAGAAAATTCTATAGATATGATATCTAGAACAGGTATGCGTACACCTACGCAGCTACGCCTGAATTTTGTAAACGCTAGTCGGCCGACTTTGCAGGCTATATTGCCCAATTAGCGGTACAAGGAGTCGTTTTAATTGACAAAGAGTGCAGACTCCTTAATCGTGTTTGGCCTGATGTATCCATTAATCATACAGATCGTCTTCAGGCCACTGGGCGCGTATTCATTGTGACACCACGGCCAGGGTGCAGACTAGTGTGAGGAATATGGATGATCTTTATTGTTAGTGAAGCGCAGTGTGTAGTTGCAGTCGGTATCGAACCATATGGCGTTCTTCTGATATATACCTAGTTGCCGCTGCTTTGGGAACTGTAGTAAAATTTATTGCCGGTGCAGACGCCGCGTTAATGACACTTAGTCTAAATGATGCGATTAAGGATTGTCTCGGTGTGGTTAATGTTTTTTCACATCTGTTTTTATGGGTAAATATGTGGCGGTACTAAATATACTATGTTTAGTACCGCCATGGTCAATCTGACCATAAATCTTCTTATTGCGGTGCAGTGTGATGGGTTTTCTCGTGTACTTCAGTATACATGGTGATATAGATAAAAGACACCGCTGGTACGAATATGCAATAAAGTGGAGTAGTGAAGATAACTACGGAACGTTTCTGTTTATCTAATGAATCTCATATTACGTACCACCTCTAAATTTTTGATAAATATTAAACTTGTGTAGGAATTTAAGCCATAACGAAATTAGCCGGATTGACGACAACGCGCTTGCAGGATTACATCGACTGGTGTCATTGTAAGTTACCGTGCTTGTTTAAATAGGTATTGTGCTAAATAAATGTAAAATTTATCAGGTTGACAGGTGCAACAAGTTCCTTCCATATATTTGCAGGAATTTGGCGCACAATAAATTACGAACGATTGCCTCGACTGAATTCCACGGGTTAAAAAAGCTGGAAATTCTGTGAGTTTCCAGTATTTTCCAGTGATAACTGTAGTGAAATTTATTGCCGGCACTGCGGCACACAAAGGTTACCAACTTGTGCATGGTTTACCAACAAAAATTTGGGTTGTCTACTTTCATTATCTTGATGCAGAGTTTTGCAGGTATGCGTCCTTGTTACAAATTCTTTATGTTTGCAATCGTTTTTTTAGCAACCTGTCTTCCAATCCATTGGCCCAGATTACGATGGATGCATTCAACGGTGTCTTCTCACTGTCGCACTTGTAAGTGGCGTTTGCGGAGCAGCGTTTAAATTTGTACTTGCCATAATGCTAGGAAATCGCTAATTCGCTACTGTTGTTGTTTATGATTATTATCGTCGTATTTTAAATGTTTTATAACTTCTTGACTCTTATTGCGATTTCCTTTGTTTAATTTCAGAGATCTCAGCTCTGCACCTCTTATTTGTAATTGCGGTCTTGGGTGGCTGTCTACGAAAAATGGTCGTCTTCGAAAGTGGAAATTTCAGCTTTCTGGAATGGAAAGATGCTTTACTCCCTTGGCAGTTAAAGATAGAAATCTGAACGATTTACAGCCGAGTGACTTCTCGTGCAGTAAGTCAGCATTGTAGTTACTTACTTTTAATCTAAATAGGTAGTTTCATGCCGTTGCGATACGAGTTGGATTTGTTTGCAGATTGTTTTCAGGTTCTTCTTTGATTTAAAATTTTTAGGCGAAGGAACTCACAGTCAGTTGAACTGTTGTATGATTTTTCAGCTAACCCAGTCACATTGCCTGAATTCTACATTTCGCCATCCGCCGATCAGCTGGCGATGCACGGGGATTCGGTTGTGCTGACATGTGCTGCTACGCGGTTTCTGGATGGGTCAACCAGGCTGACATGGCATCACAATGGAACACTCCGCACATTCACCTCAGTCAGTTATTTGGATGATGACGGCTTAATGACTGCTACACTGACCATTACCAACATCACTCAGTACCACAACGGCAACTGGTCATGCCGGGCTGTATCCAGTGAAAAGATTTTTCACGAGGAATTAAGTCTGAAATTGCTGGTCTTGGGTAATGAAGAATCGCACTGCCGGCATAATGTGACGGTTACGAATCGCGGGACTTTTGAATGGCCACAGACGCTAGCCAAGGACATTGTGGTGGATTTACCATGTCCTCGCGATCCGTCCATGAAAGCCACGCATCGATGTGATGGATCTGGGAAATGGATATCGCTGGATGTGGAAAAGTGCCCTTTTACCACCATGTTTGGCACGGTTATGCAAGTGTACGCTACACCGGACGCGTATCCAGGATATCCAACAGATTATCGCATCGGAATCATGAAACGATTTCTCGTTGATCAGTCAGCGGAATATGTGTTGGTCCGGGCCGACGAAGCCAATTTAGTCGTGCAGGCGCTGGAGATTTTCACGAAATCTGTCGATCAGTTACAGCAGAAGTCTCTTGTGGATATCCTGAACATTGTGGACTGGTTTCTTAAAATGCCCTTTTTAGAGTGGGTGGAATCGTTAAAATACGATACAGCACTTCGAATACTGAAAATTATTCGACTGGTAGCCGGTGCCGCAGTGTCCGCAGATACCTTTGAATATTTTGAACACCTTGCTGTTGTTACCGTTAGCGGCAACGGATACAATCGTGGACTGCGGTGTGATATCAGTCTCGTCAATATGACCAAAATGGCCATTGGATGTGATCGAAGTAAACACCGGGACGGGCAGCAGCCGCACGGAATTCTGGGGACTGTTTATGTTCCGTTAGACCATTCCTTGTCAAGTGAATCACAGAAGATGCATATTATGGCGTTCCGCAACGTCAAATTATTTGCCGCATCCCTGAAGTCCATCGTCATTGCACCGGTTTCCGTTGCCGTTGGGGTTTTTGCGACAAATGACCATACAGCCGAATTTAAAAAAGGAAGTGCATTTGCAGTTGATTTCCAACTTTCTACTGTTCTGGGAAGCGAGAGTGTCGCACTTTTCACACCGAGTATGGAGTTTGATGCGTCCCGATGCAACATTACAGCCATTTCGCCAGATAATTTTGTAACCGTGATGTGTACGCAGTTCGGTATTGCTGTGGTCAATCAGGTACTTACTTTTTTAATATAGATACGAATTTTTGAATTACAGAAATGCTTATGGGTACTTCTACTCCTGGATCGATCATTACAGTTAATTTTCGGTATCTCTAGATATTAGATACCGAAGCCGCGCTTACTTTTTAAAGCCGCGATTACGTTTTCAAAGGAGTTTATTGGTAACATTATTATATATAGACTACAATATGCAGTATTTGAACATTTGTACTAAATTGTTTATGCATGTAGCAATTCATTCGGTTATTCTTTATGTTATGTTGCATCGTGCCTTGTGTTTTTTATAGCCATACCATCATGTGGTGGGTTTCCATGCCGGCACTCTGGCAGTCCCGATTCCATATCTCCTCTACGCGTCAACCTTGTTCGTAGCTCTTTGCCTGATGGTCATGTTGGCAATTTACGCTGCTTATGCCGCATCTATCAACCTGCCTCGAAGTTACTTCCATGTCCTGTTGAATCTGTGGTTTTCCTCGTGCGCCTTACTTTTGACCTTTCTCACCGGATTTAATGAGACGGAAAACGAGACGTTTTGCCGAATTGTCGGCGTGTTCCTTCAGGCTGAAACGCTTTGTGTCGTCAACTGGGCACTCGCCGGTATGTTTGTGATTTATATGGAAGTCGGAAATCCATCAAATGGCCATGCTCAGAATAATTCTCCGAAAATGCAAAAATCGGCCGCAAGTTGCGGTAATCTGGGCTGTGTTTATTTATTCGGATGGGGCGTCCCAGCTATTATCACTACCCTTTCCTTATCGTTACTCCGTTTATCTTCGTATGCAAGCCCTCGATTTTGCTACATTGATAATTCATACAGCCTGATCGCCATTGGGCTTCCAACTGGTTTGATGATATTTGTGTGCCTAGTGTACTTTTTTCTGTTATACTGGCGCCCCCGTGAAGGCAGTGCAAAAGGAAGTGATCGGTATGCCCACAATGCGATGATGGCATATTTGGCCTTGTTTGTAACGACCTACTGTTTTGCCTGGTTCTGGGTTGCCAAATCGGAAGCCAATCAGCATCGTGGAGTTGACCATATCGCTTGGGAACTGTTTGGATTTGTCGTCAGTGAAATTATATGGGGTGTTGGAATTATGATTATTTTTTGGCTTGTTCGGAAGGATATGTTTGCGAGACGCCGGTCCTCTGCAGAATCATCATCCAATATCCTTCTTGACAACCGGACGATTATTCCCATGGAGGAGATGTTGGTCCATAGTGAAAACGGGCCAGTGTACGAGAATTACGGTCCTGCTGCTGCACAGGCTTCGCATGGAAATCGGCAGCCCGGTTTCGCAGTGGATATGCAGAGTCCACTGCTGATGAACAACCACCACCCTTACGTCGCTCCGGACCGAAGTTTGTGCTCGCGCACAAGTTCAGCTGGCACTGGGATCGGCGCGGAAGTGCGCGTTGCAAACGGAAATATTTGCAATTCACGATTTAGTGCGCCGAATGGATAGGATTTCGAAGGGAACCCTTGATTAAGATGCTGATGTTTGGATGTGATATAATGTAGTGCCAATATCGAATATGTACTGAATCTCTTTTTTAGCTGTTAATTTTGTTGTTCGCTACTGAAAGCAGATCTTTTTAGAATTCATTGCGTTGATTGTTGTCGAGGTTGAAGTTTGTTTGCAGCAAGTAAATGTTAATGATGATAAATTTCGAAAATTTACACACTTTGATTTGAATGCACTTCCCGAAAATGGGCAGTCTGTAGCAGCTTTCTTGTACAACTGTGATGTATGTGAGCACCTGCATTCTTCCTCTATATTTACAAATCTAACTTTTTCAAGACAAACGACAAATCAATCAGCAGAATCTGTACGAGCGTATCACTTAAATAGCATCCAGGAAGAGCGTAACGTACTCAGCAGCGATCAGCCACGTACAGTTCTTATCAGAAAACGATAACTTTTGTGTCTGTATTGTATCCGCAATCTCAATAAAAAATTAAAAATAGACATAATATAAATATGATTATTTTCCATTGCCGCAGCCGTCTCCACACTGTGCAGCATGTACAGTACTACGTAGCCTGTTGTATGACTCACTGCCTGCAGTAGCCGTAGCGTCACAAGTACTGCACAGTCTATCAAAGCTCAAACTGATCTCATTCTTCACTCTGCACAAATCTAAAGCATCTTGAAGAAAATGGCTTCTTTTTCTCAGGCTTAATTCCAACGAAGAGCTTCCAGTTTTTTATTTTTTTGAACTCACATACGAGCGTGTTTACATGTTTTATATTGTTTATCCGACTCCTTATTATCGAAATGGCAGCTGTGGTTCTTGGCCTAAATCTCGTTCTCGTATTCATTCTGACACTATTCCTGCTGCACCAATATGGAAACTGGCGTACACAACATCCTATTGTTACAACAGCTGTTTTTGTGTCATGGTATTTCTCCTTTCTGATTATTTTCATTCTGCCTATGGATGTCTCCTCGGTAAGAAGCGCGACAAGGATAGTACATCCCGGATTCATACATACTAGGGAATGGGGTATCAGTTTTTGGCAGAAATGTTCTGTTTAGTTTAGTGTTCAGCACATGTGGCCACACGATTCTGACGTTCTCGTTGGATTATGGTGCAATGTGTCGTGTTTGGTTGCAGACGCTGTATCAGTCGTGTGTGACGGAGCAAACAGAGAAGGAACCTGTAGATTACAATGAAACAGGTGTCGTCAATAGTTCTTCACTTGGATGGGAAAACGTTAGCAGTCATTTGGCGCATGACGATCTGGAACGGAACGAAACGTGGCGACTACACGCTATCCGTCGTGCTCTGACCAACTGCGAAGCGCCGTGGTCATACGTGCCCCGCGAGGTTCTTCCTGTTCTGTGGAGAATGCTGTATTGGACATCGCAGTTTCTGACTTGGTGCGCTAGCTGCGTTTACCCGAAAGCTCATTCACTGATTCATCGCTCGCTTAACGAGATAGCTGTTTGCGCGGCACTCGAGAAATATTTTGAATAAAACTATTTTATTCAAAAGTTTAATTTTAATGTGCTTAATCGATACTTTTAAACTTTCCATATGGACAACATTAACAAGAGTTTTGTCATTTTGCTACAGGTTGCTGCTACCAATTATGCAGTCATATGCCATGGCGGGAGAGTTTTCTGTGTTGGGAAAATTGCTGACATCCTTGAAGCGAAACGCTATTTATTATGGGACTTATCTGCTTATCTTCGGATTGCTTCTGATTTATGTGGCTGCCAAGCCTGAGCTTAAGCTGGACTGGTAAGAATTGTGAGCATTGCTTGCACTTATTTACGATATTACTGGGCCTTATTCTGGGCGCAATTTTTCTGGTGAATGGGACTTTGCTTTCGCACCCCTTCTGGCATGGCTTATTAACAATAAGTTGTGTTACCGTAGACACCGTAGACAGTAATGCATAAGCTCTGGTTTTTACGTTATTTTAGACTTTTTAGCCGTTACACGTTTTGCTCTCTAAGTCCAGTTTTTTCGTAGGTCGAAATTAGTTACGCTAGTCATCACTGCTAGCAACACTTGGGGATTATTTCTGCTGATTCTTCTGCTTGGATATGGCTTGGTGGAAATACCTAGAGCTTGCTGGAGAGCATCTAATTTAAGTTATCAGCTCGCTTACACCCAATTTAAACTAGCCAAATCATGGTCAGAGAAAGCCGAAGCAGAGGAAGAAGTTGATGATGTTCTTCAAGTGAGAAGAACTTAAATTGTTGTATATTATTATTGTGTAATTTATGTATATTTCTCTGCTGTGCATATGTGTGTGTATGCTTCTCTATTTTCTCGCTCTTTTGCGTTTTGTCTAAAGATAAATACATTTTCAGGAGATTAGGAAAGCCTCGGATCGACTGGATACGAAACATTCCTTGCGAAAATTTCTTGATTTAATTATTAGTAAAGTACGTGCATGGGAATCGATAATGAATGTCCTTTTAATGTGCTTACCATATTGGATATTTGTCCGTAGTGTCCAGAAGATTTCCGGCAGAAGCTAGCCAACCCGACGCGTGCTTCAAATGGCGCTCGCAGTTCTGATTCTTCTACCATGCCAACGGAAAGAGCATTGGTTCAGATCCACAAAAAACTGATTTCTGCAATTCATCGCCAGTTCCGCACATCCACCACTTGGTTTGTTCTTTTGGATGAAGGATTTGAGCTGGAAGACTGCATTCGCAATAAGTCTAACGCTGATAAAACTTTCCGACCGACCTTCCCTGTTCCGCGAGGGAAACTATATGCAGCAGTGTGCACGCCTAAGATTGGTAAGGTCTCATAAATTCATGTCTGCTAGGACTCTCAAGATTGACATACGTGTGATTCATCACAACATGACTTGTAGAATGGATTTGGAAATGTTTGTTAAGACAATGGATTCTGATGGCGCTCTCCATTGTTTTTATTGTTTTCTCCGCCATGGTAGTTTGGTCGGAGTGCACATTTTTTGTGAAAGATCCTGTGCTATCGGTTTTTGCGGAGTTTGTGCAACTGGCAAGCAGACACAATGAATACTTCAACGTGGAGGTGGCTTCCTTTTTTAGCGTCACGTTCTTGGCGTTCTGTACATACTACACTGTCTTCAAAATTCGTTTCTTTAACTATTATCACCTTGCACCGCGGCATCAAACGGATGAAAACTCCTTAATATTTTGTGGAACGTAAGCTGAAACGTCCATTTCATTACTTTACTTTGCTTAATCAAGTTTTTCTTCAGCATGTTGTGCCGATTAACATCTCCCATGTGCCTGAATTTTCTTGGTCTTGATTCACATGGATAGTCACGTCATCAAGATTAAAACTGCTGAAACTGCATTCACTCGAGTAAGAGCTTGGTTTACTTTCTTGTGCGTAGTTGCATTTTGAATCACGTCAAATCGGTTTGTAGATTATGGGACATATGGATGTGTTGCCAATTATCTCAGACGGATTCAATGTTTATTTTCCGATGTTAATTTTGGTCCTGTGTTTGGCAACGTATTTCCGACTAGGAACACGTATTTTAAATTTTTTGGGATTCCAGCAGTTTATGGGCGACGACAACATGGCGGTGGATTTAATAAACGAAGGAAGGGATTTAATGCAGAGAGGTATCTGTGTAATTTTGTTGTATCAGGATATTAGGGTAATCATTTCGTGAGGAATGGGCATTTGTATGCTCCTGGTAGATGCCGTTCCGTAAATTACTAAGCAGTTTTCGATTGAAATATGAACTCGATTTAGTTAAAATTTAGATGAATTTTCGATTTTGATCGTTTCAGTGTTTAACTAACAATAAGTTTCATTGCATAAAGCATCGGATGAACTAAGAAATTATTAATTGATTACCTTCGATGTCGTCGAATCTACCATTTTTTTCCTTTTTGTGGGTGTTTTGCTTATTGTTGGAAATACGTTTCCAGAGCGCCGGAGACGCTTAAGAGCGGAAGAAACTAAAAGCCGTCGCGATCAACTGATGGAACTGGTTAATAATACGTCCAACTTTGGCCGCATCGCTTCGTCAAACGGCACTCAGCGCCCAGGTACACCTTCTTTACATGTTTATTGTTAAGGTGCTGTGTTTGCAAAGAAAAGGGAGATAACAGTGCAAGAAATATTTTCAGCGAGCCGGTGGTCGCAGCGGAATCCATCCCGCGATACCACCCCCGGTTTCCGATATAAAAATTTCCAAAACGAAGAGCCGACGGTCATAAGTGATTTCCCGAGCTCTTCTCGCAATGCAACGGAGGAAACCGATTCAGCGGTCGGCAGCTCCATTGCGGAATCTCGTGATCGGAACTATCAGTCAACTGCGCCGGCGGAAGCGCCTGCGTCGTCATTTATGCGGTATCCTCCGCGGAATATATTCGATGATGTGTGAAAGCAGAGTGGTCGACTGCGGTTGTTGTGTCGTGGTTTATTTTGACTGTGATCGTGTGCTTGGGTTATTTGCTTACGCACATCGTTATCTCATGGAGGTTGCTATTTTGTGAATTGTGAGTATTGAGCCGGTTTGAGCGAGCGAGAGGAATAATTCCATTTTTCGTGATGTCTAAATTTTTCAGTGTTAATTTATTATTGTATAGATGTGACATTTGTAATGACTGCGGCGTGGTTTTTTTTGGTTAAGTGACTTGTTTCGCTTAAGGCAGCTGTAGATTTTGACTGTGCTGGCGAGAAAAGTTTATTGTCGCGACTCGCGCCTCAATGGAATTACTGGAATACAACATAAACTAGAAATTACAACGCGGCTGAATTCATGCTATGCTAACTTTTTATTGTTATCATCCGTATCCCAGTTGAATAACTTTCCATTTTGAACAAGCGAAATTTGTCTGTATGCCATTGTGCCGGTTATTACTTCCAAAAACACAAAGCCGAGCAATACAATATCCATCCACCATTCCACACACAGCATGCGAAATCTGTAGCTGGCCACTTGCACAACGATGATCGGCACTTGAAGGAAAATCGTTATGAGGAAATACGCACCAAGAGCCGCAATCTGGAAATTGTGCTTATATTACACCAGATTCATTTGCATGTCCGAATATTAATGCTTAAATATAATATAATCACTAAGCACACGACCCCGCTTTAGCACAAAACCAATTGATAAGCAAAATAAGCAAATACAGCGCATGCAAGTTTTTGGATAAAATTTTTATGATTTATATTTCTTTTGTAACGGTTTCACGATAGGCTTCCTGATTTCGCCACCTACGTTTTCAAAGAGATTGCCGTAATAGCCAAAGTATAACCTGCACCCCTCCAGGAATATGCTGAGAGCAATGAAAATAGGACATAAAGCAGCCAGGATGTCATCCAGAATACTGTACTAAAACACGAAATAAAAATGTCGGTGACCAAAAACTTGACAAAACAAAACTTCGGTTTTTATTGTTCGAAATGGTTTCTACGTAGCCGGAAGCAACGATACAATACCTTCTCGTAAAGTGCGTATATGCATATAGCTGTCCAGAAGGGATAATACCAAACGTTGAAGTATAACGACATCTGGAAACCAAGATGCGATGCCACCGGTAAACCTGCAAGCACATAGTTATATCGATGTAAGTAAAACCAACTATTCTTACTGAATATTTTCGAACAAAACTTGCCATAGAAGCCACTAATATTAAAACAACTTCGAAATCTTGCAGTACCAAAATGCTCTGAATGTTTATTTCGAAGTATTTATTTTTACCTGCTTTTATAAATCGTAGCTCATCTTGTGCCTTATTTGAAAACGTGGAACGGCGGGTATTTTGGACGACAGAGTTGTCCACGATTGTTTCCAAAGTAGCCATGGTGTATCCGGATCCCGAGTTGTTCTCGAGCAGTGCATAAAGAAGGCTTAGAAACTTCCTGTCAAATCCCGGTTAATTTGGATTACTGTAGTTATTATAATTATCCTCATTATCCTGTATCGAAATTTGTAAAGAAAATGATAGGAGCAATTCGATTCGTCAATCGACTACACTTCGTTCGTCGGTATACAGTACAGTAACCAGACTGCATACATTACTCTCTGCTATATTATATTATTATGTTTTGGGATCCCGAAATCAATACGGCAAGACGGATGTATACTCCAGGAAGGTCATGGTGCGACATGCTCACCTGAAATCCTGGAACGACCGGTCAACTGCCAATAAATGGAATTCCAGTTTCAGTGGAAATCGGCTGCAGACCCCAGTACGACAGTCGTGGTCAAGGTCGCCTACTTACGGTAATATAATACGGTTTAATAGGTAAACAGTGATTACTGAAAACTCGTACGAGTACTGTACCAATTACCATTAATTTTTTGTCATTTTGTGCATTTTGATTAATTTTATTAACGTAAAATCGTCATGATGTGTTTCTGCTGTTTTAATGTAAAATTTTAGTTCTGTACCTTTATGTGCGTAAGTTTTATTGCAAGCTTATGAACTTTTTTGGTGTGTTTTTCATCTTTTGGAGTGTTATTATTCGGTACGCACCGCGCTGGCGTACCGTGTTTTACTGAAAAGATCGGAACAAGTTCTATGTTCCGCGGTAGAATCTAGCGCTATTTCGCTGTGCGCCAATCGTACTGTACTTACATACTCATTCGACTGACAGTTTCTTAAACTTCTTTCGCGATTGCGATGGCGTATTTTCGAGCGGCTGAAAACTCCATTCATCGTGGATTTCTGACTTCTCTACCGTCTCCAGTCAAGTATATGTTTGCTTACGGTTCTGGAGTTTTCAGACAACAAGGACATGCTAGCGACAAGGTGTGCACCAGACATTTTCGCGCTGGGGATTCGTTAGTTGCTTCAGCTTATTGTGTTTGTGTTGATTCCCGATAGGCGAACATGCTGGACTACATTGTCGTCGTTGATGATCCGCTCCAGTGGCATACAGAGAACCTGGTGAAGCATTCTCGCCACTATTCCTTTCTGCGATTCGGTGGACCGAAATTCCTTACGGAAATCCAGCGCGGATTCGGTGCTGGAGTGTATTTCAATACCCTGGTTAAATTTGAAGACCGTGTAAGTTTGACTACGCCCGGATAACAACGAGCTTAATAACTAGAACGTCCTCTGTTAGATTAAAATTTAATAAAGTCTGTTCTAGCTAGTCAAGTATGGAGTTGTGGCCACTGACGATTTGCTAGCTGACTTACGTGACTGGACGACACTTTACATTAGCGGGCGGCTACATAAACCGGTAATAATAAAATTTTGTATACATATTTATTTTTTGAAGATTGGATTTTTATACGAGAATCATATGTGCTGCAAGCATAATGGTAATAACTTCAGTTAGCAGTTAGAATAAAAATGTGATATTTAACGGGATAATTGTGGGATATGTATTAGGTCATTGAAATAATATTTAAAGATTTAATTGTGGCTTGGTGCTCGCTTTTAATTTGGACAAATTCTGGACGTTAGCGTGTGTTGGCTTCAGAATTGGGATTTCATAGGTGTTGACTGTGCAAGACACAGCGGATTCTAGTTTTCGCCAAGCCATGCTGGATAATTTGCGTTCCGCTGTGAGAACGGCATCGTTGCTGTTGCCGGATGCCTTCACGGACGAAGAACTGTTTCTTCGGATTGCCAACCTTTCATACGCAGGTGAGGAGTGTTTCTCGAAAGAAATCGTTGCTGCATTATTATTGCCATGAGATAAGCGCTTTTCACTATGCCAGGCGCGTTTTTGTAGGGGATTTCAGAATGATTTTTGGAGAGGACAAAAATAAAGTTAGGAATATTGTTTTGCCTCATCTGGATAAATTCCATGAAATTTACCGACCCATTCTGAAAGAAGAGCAGTATATAGATGCCAGTGCCAATTATCGCACTTTTCAGGTACTTATAAATCGGATTGGTCTGCTCACATTTTTAATTCTTTCTATTATCAATCACCTTGAAACTTTATAAAGTAAAATGTAGTTGTCGGTCGACATTTGTATATAGCAGTGAGATTGCTGCGATACTCTTGATGAGAAACTGTGATCAACTGATCATAGATTACTAACTATGCTGAAGTTTGCTTGATAATAATATATGTTTTTGCACGGGTAGTTTAGTAAGTTATAGTTGAACTGCTTACAGAACATTGTTTACAGTACATTGTTTTAAACTAAATTTCAGTGTTGAATTTCATTTCATGTGTTTTCTGTGTTTTGCAGCAAGATTGTTCCCCTAAAACTAAATTGCTACTTTTGGGATTGTTACCGCGAAATCTTAAGGAACGAGTTATCAGGGACCGTTTCAGGGATAATCGGAATAAGGATGTTTCGATAATTCTAGAAGATTTGGCTCACAGTGCTGATTGCTCCAAGATTGTGGATAAAGGTTAGCGCTACTCATCACAACATAAAATATAAATGTACTTAACAGCTTTGTGCGCGCATTTGAAATTTTTGTAGGGTGTCGGCAGATTGTTAGTTATTCAAGCTGGTGGCAGAGTGTCAAGGGAATTTTTACGGCTGGTAAAAACTTTTTGTTATATATGATTTTATGTCGTCGTCTGACGATCCGATTTTTATTATTGTTTAGGTATTATAAAATCAGTGCGATATAGTGCTACCAAAGTGATAAAGATGATAAAGGGAGGCATGAAGGTAAACTCATCGAGCACAACGTGTAGCACTTTATTATTTAAGGAACCATGTGGAACAGTAGAAGTAGTTGCTTTCCTGTTTTCGCTGGATTTTCTGTTATGACTGTATAGAAACGTTTCAGGTTGTCCTGTTCTGATTGAAGTATTTTCGTGGTCTTTTTCAGAAGGGTTCTTGAAAGGGCACGTTGTGATGCTTGAAAGTTGTGGTTGTGAGATCACTTGTGGGTTGAATTCGCACAATATTGGAAAGTTTTGGAAGTAGGACTACGAACTTTGAAGATCTCCGTGTGTTTTATTTTCTTGAATGTCGTTGCTTGCTGGCTATAAAGCATTTGGGGCAATCATTGTTTTGGTCTATAATTTTTATATTTCGTGTGCGATTTGCGAATGCTCAGAATGGGATTGATGAGAGTTTATTGCCGGATTTCATATTATGCGGTCTTGCGAAAGAGGTTTACTTTTCTTGACAAAAATGTTCTCCCTGCGGTTCTGTTTCTGATGGGCAGAGTGAATGCGATATGGAAAGAAGAAGGCATTGTTCTTTGTAGATGACTACGAAGTGCCGACTTATTGTAATTATAATTTATTGGTGTTTTTAAACGGCGTCTAATAATCTGACCACATCACTTATGGACATGGTCACATGGTTAACATGCCACAATATAATTAACGATAAGAGCCGCCTTTAATACGATCGTATACAGTTAAAAGTACTATTTCATTCTCCACCGTACTTGATGGATCAGAGTTAACGCTTGGGAACTTAAAGACGGATAGTTCTTCAGTTAATTGTAAGCACTTCTTTAAAATCTAATAGAACGATGAAAGCGGATAAAAGTTGCTCATGTTGACTTTAAGCTTTATGGTTCATACGAAAACTTTTAGTGACAGTAAAGAAAAAATTCCCTGCGATCTAAAGAACCATCTGGTAGCGCAGCTACTTGAATAATTGGAATTTGCAAGTTAGATACTTATCGTTAGATGTTAGGCTCACTTAGGCAGTCAGTCAGCTGTGTTGAATTTGTTGTCAGCTTCTTTCAGTTTTACCTGATAACGTAAATTTGATTCTCGTACTTTTGATACGACTACGAGTATCCTTTCAGTAATAACCCCATAGTTTATAGATTGTGAAATTATCGCACCAGAACTTTTGGGATACTTCGAACCATAGAAATCCGGGTAGTCGTGCTTTTGGCATACAGTCCATGCTACGCTCCATTATGCGAGCCATTCGAGTGCATAAGTTCGGGGGCCCGGAAGTGCTCCAGGTGGAGACGGCTCAGATCCCCCGACCGGAAGCGAACGAAGTAAGCATGCCGTTTGAGTGTTACCACTATGCAATATCGCGATTTGTCTGTGTGCTGCAAACTGGAATGCGCGTAATACATAAGATGAAGATGTGAAAGCAGAATTTTTGCAAAAGCGCAAAAGTATTTAGCTGTATTACTTTGTATCAGGTATTGGTGAAAGTTAAAGCAGCTGGTGTAAATCCCGTTGATACATACGTTCGCCAAGGATCGTATGGTCCAAAAGAATTTCCATACATACCGGGAGCAGATGCTGCAGGAGTTGTTGAAGCTGTTGGAAACGGCGTCACGAACGTACAGGTACAGTTGCACCACTGCATCTGTTCAGTCAGCTTTTAGCCACGTAGAATATACATGCTCGTCATTTAATCGTAAATTGTAGATCGAAAATGTTTTAGACATTGTTATTTATTTCGCACAGTTTCACATATATAATTACCGTATAAGTGCGGAAAATGCATTGCCGGCACGAGTCGTTTGCCAGTTTTTTAACACTCGTTTGTCCTGGATACATACAATACATACTTACAACTGAAACAGATCGATGTGATTGTTGCATCACCACAACATTTTCCCTGCTCCAGGTTGGAGATCGGGTCTTTTGCAACGGAGCGAGTGGATCATATTGCGAGTAATTTTTCAGTGTGTTCTGCAGTTTTGAAAATTTTTACAAATTAACTGCTGATTGAACGCAAATGTTTCGCATGTAGATTTATAGTTGCCAAAGCGGTAAAAGTGTTTCGCCTTCCGGAGCGCTTGTCATTCAGCCAAGGCGCTGCATTGCCGGTGCCGTATTTTACCGCTCTGCGAGCACTGACTTACAAGTAATTGCTAATGATTAATGGGTAATGTTTTCGGAATTTTTTAATTAAATACCAGAGCTGAATTTGATTAGGGCCCATGCCCAGCCAGGTGAAACCGTTCTGGTTCATGGTGCATCCGGCGGAGTAGGAATTGCCGCGTGCCAGATTGCATCGGGCTTGAAAATGCACGTGGTTGGAACGGCCAGTACGGACGAAGGAGCGAAACTTGTCAAAGATAATGGCGCGTCTGCTGTCCTCAATCACAAGGATCCAAATCATGCTGAGAATCTGAAGGTAATTTTTTCCGTCCTAAAGTTCGCGGATTAATCTTAATGCGGTTGGGGGTATATAGAGTTTGGTCAATGGATTTTTTTTGCAGTTTTGTACTTTAATTCAATTTATCTCGTTTTCTGTTTGTCGAATGTTGTGGTTTCCGTTTATCGAATGTTGTGGTTTCCGTAAAAATGTAGATCACTTTATTTTTGTTGTCAGAATTTTTAAATTTGGTTTTAGAAAGCGACCAATGGTAAAGGATTCGATGTCATTCTGGAAATGCTGGCCAATGTGAATCTTGCCACGGATATGGATATTGTGGCCGAACGTGGACGAATTGTTGTGATTGGCAGTCGGGGAAAAATTGAAATTGACCCTCGTGCCATTATGCAAAAAGAATCGCTCTGCACGGCTGTGGCGTTAATGAAATCAACGGACCAGGAATGGCAAGAGATGGGAGCCACCGTTTTGCAGGGAATAGAGGCTGGCTGGATTAATCCCATTGTGGACGAAGAATATCCTTTAGATAAAGCCGGTGAAGTGAGTAATTATGCTACACAGCTGATTGGTTTTCGATTGTTAATGCTGATGAATGGTAACAACATTTTTTGCTGTCTACAGGCTCACAAAGCGGTAATCGACCATGGTTCCGGTTCCAAGGGCAAAATTGTGATTGTTATATAGCCTGTAAATATTTATGGTCATTATTCAGTGGGGACTTGTGGGGTTAATGAAGAAATTCGCTTCTATTTTTTTAGTGATTAGTACGAGTATTGAATAGTATTAGGAACATTGCGCCGCGTACTTGGAATACTTCTTTTCATTTGACGTTACCATTTGAAAGTTGTGGCTATTTTGCGCTGAGCTCTAAAAGCATGACATAACGTTTTTGCTCATATTTCACATTCAGTCTTAATTATAAACGCTTTGCATATGGTTAATGACATACATGCAATGATGCACTGGTCATCTCTGCACATTAATTGAACTAACGTGTTTGCAACGACACTGAAACGAGATATTATCATTTATCATCGAAATTATTAATTACAAATAACTTCACCAGGGTCTATATTATAGCGAATCCGTAATCCTACTTTCGTCTCTGTGCTTAGAAAATTATATAAAAAGAGCTAAAATTACCAGTACCAGGTAGCCTTATGGCTACATACACCGCATAGGCACCAAAAACACAGAACAACAAAAATTCCTGTCCTTATCCTCAGTCTATTTAAAACTGCTTATTCCATGGTCGAAAAATTAAAAGCCCTTCCATCACTTGGCTAATTTCGTTTCCCGTCTACGCTTTATCCACGCTTCAATTTCTGCTCGCAGATCGTCAGCCGGTTTGACTTGATCCATCGTAAGGTAACCCCGATTAAATGGATCCGACTGATCGGATAACAAGTGCCGGGCGATGGTCGAGCGATCCACAATCTTCCCGGAAGTGGGAAGCAGAACCGGTTCCCGCATCAAATGTGACATTATGGGATCCAGATATTCATCCGGCACATCCTCATCCATTAACAATTCGTCTTCTTCGTTCTCTGCAGCTTCCGCTTGCTTCACATCTTCAGCCAGCTGGCACAGACTATCAATGAACACCTCCGGTTCATTGATACGCCGCAGAATATCACAGGCAAAGGGAAAGAGCTCCGGATTGTATGACCGTTTATCTTTACAGATTGCCAAAAGAAAATCTTTGCGGGCGTCATGCCGGCCCAAATTACTGTAGATCCGACAAATTTTGGCCACCAGATCTTTTGGTTCAAACATGTACGCACTCAGATCCTGTACGCGGTACTGCTGTCGTTTCTCCGGTCCAACCAGCAAACGAAGGAAATAGTTCAGCATAGAAGCTAGGAGAATACAAAAGGTAAATCTTCACATTTTAAAATCCTAATAATAGGCCGGTAATACATCAACAGATATCATACGAGCATGAAAAGCGACAAAACGCTTTATGATATTATATGGCCAACAATTACCAAAACACTACGAACATAATCTGGCGTTGTAAAGCTGTGTTGCCACAAATTACAAAATTTGTAAAAACTTACATAAGCGATCCACCATAACAGCGTTCAGAAGGATTCGCGAAGGATTTTTAAAATTTGTCAAGCTTTTGAGGCACTGAATTGTTTCGCGAGCCAGAACATTGTAAGAACGAGCAATATCTCCCTGGTGCTCAAAATCACGCTCCTTTTCCTGACGCTGTTCATCCGGCAGAGCGGCCCATGATTCACGTTCACCCTCTAAAATCTTCAGCTTGGACATGTAATTCAAAGCTTCGTCCAACATAAATGTCGCATCGTTGATAAGCAAATTCAGAAACCGAAGGAAAGTCGGTGGATTGGTCGCTTCTAGCTTTCCAACAGCTTCCCCTGCCACTTCTTCGACTCTGCGCATAAACACACGTTGCAGTTCAGATACAGCTAGCAAATCGAAATATCTAACGCGCAACAGATGAAAAATGACATTATGCAGAACAACACCACGCAAACAATGAAATTAAGTACCTTCTCTTATGGTAGTCCAATGTGAATAAATATTCCATAATCGCATATAATGGTCTTCGGTAGTGAAAAGCTTCTCCAAAACGTAAATTTGATCCAGTCATTTCAATACTGACGAAAACATTCATAACAGCAGGGAAAAACTCTGGTTTGTATTCGTGATCGCGGAACAATCTTTCTTTCATCACATCCATCAGTTCAACCATTTTCGACACATTCCGTTCTTGATATGTGTCAGCAAACCTAAAACAAGAACAGCAAACTGTCACTGTAATAATCATTACAGGTATGACCGAAAGAAATCACCTGCTAAGAACTATACATACCGTTTATGAGGCATGAGATTGTGCATGAGCATTGCCATTTTAGCGCGAAGATGAGGGTTTCGCATGCGTTCATGGCCGGACATGTAAACGATTGCCAAACTCATCAACTCTTCCATCCACTCAAACTTCCAATCCACCTGCATTTCCCTTGACAACAGGCGAACGTAGCAATTCAGCACTTCGGATACATTTTCCACTAAAAATTCGGGGACGAACTGTAAATGGGGCGGAACTTTAACTGGAAACGGGAACAGAGGATAATAACTGGTCGGAGTAGCACTGAAAGGAACGTTTTCGGGTTGCACTGCCATCTGCGCCAACCATGTCGACGTGCAAACAGCAAACTCGATCATCAGTTCCATGTGCTCGGGGAGGGTTAACGAGGCAAGAATGGTCAGATGCCGGGTGGCGAGTGTTCCCAACCGGCGCTCGATCTGCGCGACAGCCGCTCCATTGTCCACTCGGCGTGCTTCTTCCAAGTGCCCTTCCAAATCATGCACCATCCGGCTATATTTGGTAAAACGATCCCATAATAAAGCCCAACCGAGTCTCAATGATTCGTGGGTGAGAAAAAAGCACGAAGTGATAAAATTAAACTCCTTGGGCAATTCATAAGGCGGAGTATTCTCTTTTGGTTGCAGCGTGGTTTCTTCTGGCAATTTGCGCAAATATGCCCCCGAAGCCGTGAACAAATGATGGATTTTTAAAATTTTCCCATTCTTCGGCGGATTAACAAATGGTCGGCAGAGACGCAACAGAATAGCGGATAAATTCAGAATAAATCCATCAGACGCCAGACGGATCTGGAACTGCAGCGACGGCTGCCACATTTTTGCGCGGCCAAAATTGGCGCTTAACGTATCCGCAATCCAGTGCAGGAGCATTTCTCGCAGTTCCGCTGACTGACGGACAACATTATTCATAATCTTAAACACAGCCTCCGCTATGCGCACCGTATTAGACCAGATGTATCCATTCGTGTTAGCAATTTCCGAATGGCTGAGCTTCATGGGATTCTGAAAGAACTGGCACGGCGCGTCATTGTGCTCGGGCAGACAAGAAATACGGATAATTCGTCCGAGTAGCGATAACTCACATCCCATGGCATCACGATGATTCGGCGGGGTGCTGTGCAGCATCAAAATCTTTGCGGTGTTGGGATTCGCGGAGAAGACTGTCATTAGATGGAGAATGCCTGCGAGGCTACTGTCCAGATTCATTAGCTGGAGGGGATTGGACCGCTCCAGCGCCACATCAAGAATTGACTTTCCCGCACTCACCGCATCAAAATCCGGCGTTGTGTTCAGAAACTGGTGAGCGAACGCCGAAATCTGCTCTCCAAACTGATCAATGCGATTGACAAAAAATTCGTAGAATTGTTTAGGCAGATTCTGTTGTTCAAACAGCTGCGGCTCCTGAAATCCCAAACGCAGATTCTGGAAGATCAACTCTTCCAGTCGCTGGAACAGATCCTGGAGGCCAGCGTGGGCGGGAATGGTCCGTTCCGCCGTCAGTCGGATGAAACATTCGCCCAGATACTCGATCACATCCGCCTGATCAGGCCTGCCAAAACACAGCTTCGGCTGTCGACTGGTGTTCTTCACTTGATTATGCAGCAGATCTCCTGCCGACATCAAAAGTCGTTCGAAAAATGCATGTGTCACATTTTCCAGATCTAAGATCGGCTTTTGGTCCATGGAGCTGCGCAGCTGAACGACCACTTCGGGACTGCCCTGTCCGAGGTATCGCGAATCCAGAGCAATGAGGAAAACACTCTGGATTACACTGTTCACGTGGAGCTCCGAATCCGTCACGTGTGGTACTTCCATTTCGTTTTATTCCGCTCTCTGAAGAATTCACACCTATTATACAATTAAATTTTTAGACTCAAGTACCGAAGATCACCTTTCAAATATAACAGATCACCGGAATTCGTATGCCAGCCTACCTGGAATCTTATGAGAGAAACCCGGGAGCAAGGCTGAAGCAGAGCATCCGTGTCCACAGTCTTACCGTCTTACGTCGTAACTCTCCGTTTGCCTGCACGGTTTACACTGAGAAGAGAAGAATACAAGTAAATTTAAAAGGGATTCAGTAGCGCTCAGTTACCGAAAACTGCAAATCACAGATATCATTCGCAAAATTGTCAAAATTTACTTAGTTATCAAAATTATGAAGATAAAAATAAGGTAAAGTAATTTGACTGATTTCTAAGACAGGAAAATGCGGCAGTTTGAAGTACAGAACTTTCAACTTTGCAACCCCTTAGCCTTCGCAACTGGCGCCCCAATAGGTTCTCTATGTAGACACAAGTGGTATAGGGTAGATGCGTGGGCAGACAGATGATGCAGCAATTTTCGCATTGGCACTTGCCGTTTTATCAAGCTGTTGAAGTCTGCGACTAAGCTCCCTACCGCACCGCACTGTTTCTTTCATTCATTCTGAAGCTGATCGGAGATTTCATTCGTTTCCAGCTTCCTGGTGCGATATCGGTGCCTTGTTTGTTCCGATAATTTTTAATTTTTATATTTTGGCTCGTGATTGACCACTGTTTCTATATTTTTCGAAAGCTAAGAACCAGTCAGCTTTGGTCCGTTGTTGGAGCCAGTGGCCGATAATAAGTCTGACAATGGAAGGGGTCATTATCGATATTGTACCTGGCCAGCGTTCGTTGTCCTCCCCTGTCTTGGATGCGAATGCATCTGCCGCTGCTGATCATGATTCTCCCATTTCTGTATCGGACAGCGAATCATCCGGAAGATCGGATTCTTCGTTGTCTGTCGGTGCCGGTGGATCCAGTGCGTTGGATGACGACGAGAATCTTTTGCGCGATTTTCACAAGGACACAGTAAGCAATTGATGCAAATTGGACCACAGTTAAAATTATTTATTATGTACAACAAGCGGCTAGCCTGTGAAAATATTATATTCAATAACTTTGAAATTAATTTTAATTTCGCGATCTCCAGATGTGTTTGAAATTAATTTTAATTTCGCGATCTCCAGATGTGTTAGAATAAAATAAATGAACTAAAATTGATTTAATAATGAATTTTTGTCGAAGTGTCCCTTGCAGCCTTTAATTACATCATTATTCGTTATTAACTACTGAAATGGTTAACAACCGTTAGATTTCGTGTGAAGTTAAGAATCAGTGTAATCCAGGTCAGTGCTGAAAAGCAATGGAAATTGTGGGTTTTAGCAGCTAGCTGTAGGCCTGTAGCCGGATCTGGTTACAGCATCCTTATTCTTAATAATTATTTAAGAAATCAGGCTTCTCTGAAATGTTACAAATGAAAAGCTTTTTGTGCTTCATTAACGGGTAGAAATCAGAATCTTGAAGATGTACAGAAAATAAGCATCATGACAAAATAACAAAAAACAATCGGTACAGAAGCAGCGTGAGCGGACTAAACGGAGTACCTGTTGACCTTTCGGAGCAGGTGTCACCATGTCACATATCGTATCAGTAAAGTTTCTCCACTAACAAGTTATGAAATATTCTGAATAAGGTACTTAGTTGAAGTAATTTATTATGTGTTCTGAGAATCGAAAAACCATTTCACCAGAACGATTCCATTAGGTTAATACAATGGTAATGCGAATCTGACAGAAATAACGTATGCACTACGGAGTTCGAAAAACGGCGGGAAATGGCATTAGCGAGCTGTACTCATGCTTCCCATGCTGAGAGAAGGTCCTACAGTTGTAAACTTACGAGAATACAACTTGTATAAATTATATTTTAATACGTATAAGTCAGAATTCAAAGTTGGATGAACTTTTTGTGGAAGCAATATGGACGGTGGTTGTCTTTTGTTGGCCGAAGGCTCGAAGCCATTGTTTGCAAATTGCAATTCTGTGCATGTGTATATGTATGTGCCACAAGGCCACAACCACCGATAATTCTCTTTCATAATTTGTGACAGGAACGACATTATTACAAAAACTGGCTAGCAATTGCAGTTTCTAAACCTGCTCCGCAAACAACACCCAGCCCGATCCAGGTGACCGTGAGAGCGTTCAGAACGGTTGCAGTCGTGCAGCGGTCTGCCTGTCCTGACAAGTTAGGGTTGGGCCTTTTGACTTTTCACAAACACTGCCGCTACAGAAACCGCCGTTGCCGACTACTTCAGTCGCTTGCGGACTTACGGTCAACGTACCGGCTGTTACTTCTGAGTTGTGATAAGTAACTTCGCACACAGGACAAGAGTATTACAATCCAGATTTTTCTTTGCTTGTCTAAACAAGAAATTCATTGTTTTTCCTGGTTTTATTGCATTATCGTTTTCAAATTACCCTCCAAGGCACGGAATGGTTAACGAGACAGTCTGACGTAAAGCCTGTAATCATGTCTGTCCTCTGCTCCGAGTTGCCTGACCACACACCCGATTGACGTTTGTAATTCATTGTGTGTTTCTGCACATGGTAACATATGCCTTACAGTTTAACTTGATTACGTTTTAAATTAATTTGTCACAAGAATGGCAGCAACGGTCTTCACCAGCCATTTGACATGAATTTTGCAATTAGGAAGGCAAAGTTCTGGTGCGCATGGAGGTATCGTCTTGCGAACATATCGGGCTGATCGGATCGCAAGGCGAACACGTACGAAAACTGAAGCGGGACACCAGCTGCACGGTCCACTTTCCCGCGACGAATTCACCGAACGACGCCACGTCCGCGAATTACTCCCGATTGCAGGCTTCACATTCTAACGAGGTACTTACAAAAACAGATCAACGTAAAAATTGATGATAAACTATGTGTTACTACTGGTTAGACAGTTCGCATACATAGACTTTTTTGGTACGATTTACATACTGTGGTTCTTTTTAGGTGTCTATTCGTGGAAAGTTAGCGAATGCTGTGGAAGCTCTACAGAAGCTGCGGGTATATTAACAAACCGGGAATAGTTAGCATTGTACATATATTGAAAAATCGCAATAAATTGGTGTGGACCTTGATGTATCACACTGCGAGTGATTGGTTATTGGCTTTTAAAGTTAATGAACAATCTGCTGTTTATCTGTCCTTGTGCTTTTTATGTATTCTACGAGTTAAACCACTTGGGTCATTGTTACAGGATGCGATACCTTTCAAATTCACTTATCATGTTACGAAACAGTCCCTGCTGGATCATCCAGAACTAGCCAACGGCGATAGTGTGTTCGACCAAATCAGACGAGTATTTCCTATCGACATATCGTTCGAGTTGGCAGATTTTGGAAGGAATGGCGCATTAATTCATGTACGTGGACCGCAAAATGCTCGCACTCTGCTTGGCGCCAAAAGCATTGTTGACTACTTTGCGCGATCCGCTCAGCGAAACGAAGTAAGTTCATCTGAATGGTTTTATTCCTCTGAGTACTTATCAGGTTATCAACGCCGACAATACAATCAATCAGGGTTTGATTACCACCACTGAATTTTACAAAAATGGTGTTACAAATGTAGCTACCAGAGTGGTATGGCTTGCAGTTCTACCAGTAATAAAACTCGAACCTTTCGCTATGTAATTAATTGTTCACATTAAATTGTCGCAGGTGGAAGAATCCGTTACAGCAACCTTATACATCCATCCTCATAGCCAGTCTGCGATGTACAGCCTGTGTGATGCGGAGGCGTTGATATCGCAGATTTCCAAGGTTACGCGCGTGTCCATAACATTCCCAAATCCTCGGCAGGAATCCGGGGACAAACAAAAGGTTAAAATCCGAGGATCAGTTAAAGGCACCGCCGCAGCCTGGCTAATGCTGATGGTAAAAAATAGAAAGTCTGTTTAATTTCAGTTCTCACTACGATGCTTGAATTTTTAAGAGTTGCTTTAATAAGAGGTTTAATTAAATTGATTTGCAGAGTATATTGCCGGTTACTGTACGATTATTTGTGGACTGCAGCAACGTCAACGTGCGCGGCAAGTATTTCCATTTGCTTATGCTGAAGCTTATAAAATCGCACTAGTAACAGATATTTAATTTAATCGTCTTGATTTATTCCTTTTTCCTCTTTTATTTGAAAACGACATTGTTTAACTAGGGGGTTATAACGGAAAAGCCTGATTTACCTTCCGATTTTAGGGGTTACGGACTTCCTCCAGAATCGTCTCCAGGTGAATGTTTTGACTGCAAACGGAGCCCTTAGAGGCGAACGTCAGGTGAGGATATTAATGCCAGTAAACCGATTAGAGGCTCTACAACAGCACATTTCTGTAGTACATCGAGCTGAAATCTGTGGAGGACAATTTGACGAATATTTGCGTAGCCTATGGATACATCCTTACCCGCACAATGCAGCTTCCAAGGTTTCACGTGCGTCGTCTTGCGGACAAATTCCAGGAACTGCAAATCGGTGAAATGTTTTCCGTGCTGGGCCAGATTCCACTATCGATGCCGATGCTTCCATCACCAGGCATCCCGTTCATGCCGATGATGCCATATCAGGCGCTGCCCATGCCTTTTGTTCCTGGATACGGATGGCCATTTCCGTTATCAGGTATCCTGACGGTCTAACCGAATGCGATGTAAAAAAATGTTGTTTTCGTTAAGCGTTTTTTTTCAATCAAAGGTGAGCTTACGCCTTTAACTGATCCCCGGATTTTAACCTTTTGTTTGTCGCGACGCATGGCCATATGGTTGCAAGGTTAAGGTGGTCCATTTTAATCACAAATTTTCTGGTACCTGCGGAAGTAGTACATATCACACATACGGTCACATTTTCATTTAATGGCAGTATAAGTTGAGTATATTATTAAAGCCATTTAAAGTTGATGTTTTGATTACTAAAGAAAGGAATAATGAGAAAGTCGATATTAATAAGTCCTCGAGTTAAAATTTCGAAATATTGCACTAAAAAATCTGAAACTGCGTAGTTAATGATTAAATAGATAATACAGTAACGTTACAGTAATGATTAAATTCTGAAAGGTCAAGCCTGAACTTGATGTGTTACAGTATTGCAGTGCTTGATAAACATGAACGTTCAGCTTCAGCCTTAACCGTCGAAGTTTGAATAATTTGTCTTGTGAATATACTACTCTAGACCGAGTGAGTAAGAGAAAAGTATTTTTTAACAGTCTTTAGTTATCTTACCAGCTTTAAATTGTATTTATAACGAAGTTACAGGGTGACCTACTTTTTTACTCGGTAGTCACTAAATAAACTAGTTAGTTATTGTGAAACATTACCGTGAAATCTGGTTTTACTTACCTCTTTGTCGATTGAGGAGCACGCCATCATATCTCATTTTCAGGTCCGGTGCCGGTCCCAGCTGCTCTTCCCGCACCGTATCCGGATTCCAGCGTGGGCTTGCGGACGGCTGAGCAATCATCGAAAGTCACCACCGGGGAAATTCCTTCTCTGGGCCATGGAGTTAAGAATCCGCTGCGTTCCGGCCATGCAAAAGCGCATAACAGCCGTCGTCATGATGATGAATCAACTGCATCTTTCGGAATTAACGACCATGGACACGCCAGGGGAAATTCCGGCTCTCTCTTGAACGTTGACCTGAAAATGAGATATGAGGACGTCCTCCTCAATCGTAAGTGCCAGAGTAGTGAAATGTGATGTTAAAACCGTGTAACCACAACGTTGACTAAAATAAAGTTAGATGAAGACAGTTGCTTTTATAGAGAATAGCGTAATTTTTAATGGCTGTTTCATGGCATCGTGCCACTTTCAGTGGTTCAGGGCGGCACGTAAGATAAAACGGACCAATCACTGCTTGTTAAGAAATTGGGGCACCTACAGCGCCCGTTGGTTGTGGACTTTTGGTTACTTATTATTGGTCAGATCTCGCCATCGAAAGGGCAAGGGTTGGTAGTAGGCAAACCGAAAACGTGCGGTCGAGCTTTGTTATGGTAGTGGCGTGTAGGTTCGAGCCTTGAGACAAGCCTTAGTAATTATGCTGACAAAGTAGTGCCATTGGCACAGATATCTATGATAAAATAGTGCTGTAATGCGTTTTTGCTGGCGCACTCAGATATTTGGTGGTTTGTTTGCAAAAACGGGGCTGATGGTATCTAAAGAATGCGAACCTGAGAAGATAGCAGGGTTGTGAATTTTGTTTTGCTGGGATGCGTTATCACAAATACTTCGATTGGCTGAACGAGCTGGAAATTACTGTTTTGATTGTTCGAACAAAGCTACAGCACCATTGGCGTTCAGTTTAGACCACGATCAAGTGACATTAACATGGAGAACAAATATGTGAATTTAAGAGGCACTGCAAAATGCTAGTAATGGAATGTTTTAGATAAAAATTAACTGGTATAAATAATTACGACAAATGATGACTTTAAAAAATAATTGCTTTCCACTACGGTGATCGGTTTTTTATCGTCCCCAGTCAGGAGATAGGATCAGCTGAACTTAAAAATCCGCTTTTATGACTTTTATTAGACTGTCGTCATAGTGTGTATTTTTTTCGGTGTGATAATTACAAATCCAATTGGACAACGGACACGCACCTGTATTCAAGTTGCATTTGCTTAAGCACTTATTTGGTCAGTAAATTCTAATGCCGTACAAGCATAGACTTAGAGAGTAAATGTATACACTTTTATACAGACACAGTTTATCGACTTTATGTGGTAATTATTAGTAATTGACTACGTTTGCGAAGACACGTATTATAAATATAAACCGTAATCCCATTCGTATGGAGGGAACATGTTTCATTTTCTTTTTGCACTCGTAGTCTATGAGGAAGATTCTAGCCCACCTAGATTCAACGCGGGTCGTAATGGAAGCACAGCAGCATTGTGGAATTCCGGAGATATGTCAAGCATCAGCTCAATTTGGAAAGAACCGGATTCCAGTTCACGGACAAATCTCCCGGCCAAGACTACCGTTGGAATGTCAAAATCAAACAGTTTCGCTAATGTTTACTTCTGTACGGAAAGGAATTATCTGGAAGTGGGTGATCGACATCAGCCATTGTCTGAAGGTTACGGAAGAGAGGCGTCCTGTACGTTTACTGCCGGTTGCGGTTTAGTGCCACCGCGCCCGTCCTTTGTATCTGTTATAGAGCACTATTGTTTTTTTTCTTTCAGTGGCTCGTAATGGACCAAACAGACGATTTTCGCGGAACCGTGGCCCGCCACATCGAAGCGGTCCGAGTGATGCGCATACGGATTGGGGTCTTTGGAACCATAATGGTGTGAATGGTGCTCTCAGTTGATAAAACATAAAAGTGTCATGCATATAACGCCACGTACATAATTTTTGTTTCCTCAGCGACTCCCCAGAGTCCCCAGTATCGAAGAGCTGAAAAACCGTCGAACCCAGAGCCCATTCATAATTTCCAAATCGGACACTGGAAACCGGTTTAGATTGGCCCACGTTGGTGACCTGTTGAAAAGCGTCATGATGGGCATTGTGGATTGTGTATATGTAATCCTGTACATCGGTTGAATTTATGGTTTGATTTAAAGAATTTTGATAATTTTAAGTTTGCACATCAGATTTGTATAGCACAACACGGAAGACCGAGATTTCTTTACAACTCTATGCGGCTTTTCAGTTTTTATGGCTCAGATCTTTGGTTGTTAGCCGCCGGCTGTTGTTGCGGCCTTTTCCAGTTTAATTGTTTGTGATGAGAATTTCTTGGGTTAGCAACTCTGCACGATTTTTGTCCATTTTTACCGTTGTTTCGAGATATGATTTTTTAGTGTAAAACTACTTCGGTTTTAATTTCTAGTTTCATTGTTACGATGCGAGTCAATTTATGACAGTCTCCTATGCGGATCTCTGTTGAGTGGAGTTGGAAATAATATCGATTCAAAATATTGCTAAAAAAAGTTGAAATGATGTACTTGAAATATTGCATCTACAAATTTATTTGAATAAACATCGGGATAACTTTTTGTGCTATGTACACGACCAACATTACAAACAAAGATTAACCAATAATCTGCAAAAACCAACATGGTAAAGACAATATAATCGCCAAAACAAAATCGTTATCAAATCTTTAGTGACAGCTGGCAGTGCAGTTCACTTTCGCATGTACAGACTTAATCCATACAATGCTAACGTGATCGCCGAATTTCTCTGCAGCGATCAATTTAGCCATCCTTAGCATTCCATGGTTTTGCTACACAGTAGCTCGGACAGTTTCCCAAAGAAAAAATTACCGCGCCAACGCCGCAATAAGGTTAGCACACATTTCAAAAAATTCCATGGTTTGGTGTTGGGTGACTTTGCTGCGAAATGTAGTGGGAGGAAGCTCCGTAACCGATACACTGTTTCGCCGACCAGTGATGTTGGTGCCAGGATACCTCCACACTTCCGGGTTAGTCGGGGGCACGGGTGAGGATGAGCCCGACGAAAAACTGAACCGTTTGTCCCGTCCCGCTGCATGATAAATAATCGGTCAGAAACAGCAGAACTACACACGTATCAATACTGCCACAAAACTAAACATTACAAAGGGTGCAATTTCCTTAAAAAATTCGTGAATTTCGACGGCGATAGCATTACAACGAAACGAATTACAGACAAAAGAACTGCCGGACAACTGTGCCCGACGAGATATCGCGCGAATTTACATACATGGTGTAGTATGGGTCTGTACGGTAGTGCAATCAACAATTTCCATTAACCTGCTACGAAGATACTTATAATTACTACAATTTGTAATTTATTGCAGTTACAACAACGTAAACTTCAAAGAATTCGCAAACGGCTAATAATTCCATCTGGGAATTAAAACAATATTCAGAAGCTCAACTGAACAAAATTTTCGACACGCGAGCACATAGCATACCTAGTAGCCTTTCCCTCCGTTCTTCCACCACAGGATTTGTAGCCTCTTCCGAAAGGCTTTTAAAGTCAAGCAAATAACTCTTATGGTCAACTTGGTATAGCTGCAGACTCATTTTTATCTGGAAAAACACGTGATGTTATGCCAACCAGCCATCGAACAAGTCAACAAGCGATTATCATTCCTTTATACGTACATAATGGCTATTAATCACATTTTTTCGCCGCACTCGAACGTTGTAAGGATTTAAGATCTTCCATTCGTAGCCCAAATTTTTCATGGCTTTATACACTTCTGTCATGATGTCCTGGGGCCGGCTCTGCGATCGAATCCCTGATACAAGAATAAACACTGTTTATAATTAACCATGTGGAATTTCTAATGTAGACTGTGCAGTTATCCCTGCAAACAATCCTCAGTCGATAATTAATCAAATATCAAACCAACCTAAATGCCATTTCGCACGTTTAGCAGGAACCTGTTTGGAAGACACCGGCTTGTCACTGCCGAGGGGATCCAATTTTTGTACAGCCAGACCTGTTAGAAAAATCCTCCGGTAATCAACACATCGCATGATTTACACACGTGCGACTAAATGCTCACTTGGTATTCGTTCAATATGCGGTTTCTCGGAAGCTGTCTTCATCACCTAAACAAGCAAGGTAGAACATTACTGTACATATTTTCCAGCAGAAGACAGCTTTGGCGTTGTCGAAAGGAAACGCTTAATTACAGCAAATGATTATTCACTGCACTGTGATTTCTCGTTATATGATGTCAGTTACGAATTCTGTAGTATTCAAACAACTACTTACTGGAGTCAGGGGTGTAGGGGATTTAGCCGCACCGGAAGTGGTCGATGTGGTGGAATTTCCACCAGGTGGCGAACAGATAACCAAATCCTTAATATTCAACCGCTCCGTCGCCTCTTCTGCTCCAAATCGCTTGTTATCCACAATCAGATGGTACGCAATGGATAGTTGATCATACGGATCACTGCTGAGCAAAGCTGCATGAACATCTTGGTCTTCGACGCCAAATTTCTAAATCGAATGAAACACAACATTAAATTTTTCACCTACAAAGGCGATAATTAAATTACAACTGTAACAAATTTCACGAAATCTCTACGAATCTTACGGAAAATAACTTGAGTGCATCAACAGATATAAATGTTAAAACATGAAATGTATTCAACTCATTATAGAATAAACAAAACCAATAAACACGATGATCAGGTATTTTAATAACGACAAAGCTGACCTCGCAAACTTCCCGCACAGCATCGATATCCACAATCGCTGCACTAGCGTCATCATCGTCCGGGAATAATGTACACGGTAAATCTTTTTGAAACCATTCATGATTCCTGGGAAAAATTTGGATGGTAAATTACCGTATTTGGATACAAACTTCCACAGTCAACCACATACCGAATGTCCTGAACTGTCGCGCGTTTAATAGGGTCCACTTGTAACATATGGCACAATAAACTCACAACCGACTGACTCAAACTGCCGGGAATTGGGAAAACTCCGGCTAGAACAATATACCATGTCAAACAGTCTCAATTTCGCACAAGTATCACACTCTTACATTTAATCTTTCTAAATAGAGTCGGGACATGCTCATCGTCGAAGGGAAGCTAAAACAGCATAACTTGAAATAGTAAATTAAACTGTACATCAACATTCAATTTTCGTTTTGGAAACTTACCGCTCCGACTAATAAAGCGTAAAGTATTACTCCACAACTCCAGATGTCAACTTCCGGACCAGCATAGAGCCTACGAAGAGCCGGTCAAAAATAATGCTCACTCAACAAACAAAAGAAAACTTACTTTCCAGATATGACTTCCGGGGCGGCATAATTTGGTGACCCACAACTGGTTCGTAGAAATTCGCCATCCATCATCATGTTAGAAAGACCTACAGCATCAAGTGTTTACATATGAAAGAACGGAAAAATTGTAGCAGATAATAATTAATAAGAAACAACAAACAATAAACCAAATATACACATTTTAGGTCTTTATATGTGTAATAATAAAGCAATGTGCCATAATTACCTAAGAAGCCACAGTAAAAACGAGAAAATCTTACCAAAATCAGCAATTTTCACATTGAGTTTGGAATCGAGGAGGAGGTTCTCCGGTTTAAGATCACGATGAACGACCATGTGGCGGTGACAGTAGGCAACACCACTGATGATCTGTTGGAAGAATCGGCGTGCTTCATTTTCCTTCAGCTGGAATTTGGATACGACACATTTATAGATGACGGTAAGTGTACCCATAATTAGTATCAGTTCTCACCCTTCCGTGTTTAACGATGTAATCGAACAATTCTCCACCCGACACATACTCCATAATCATAAAAATATCAGTCGGCGTACTTATCACTTGGTACCTAAAACATTTTCGCAGGTAATTATGCACATCGTCCCTGCACAAAAAGTTTAAAATTCATGAATCGCCGACAGTAAAATAATCAGAAAATTCTATGAGTACTATAAATAAATGAAACAAATAAATCACTAAAAAACCGGGAGCCTCTGAGACAAAAATACAACAAAAAGATAAATAAAAAAGCAAACGTAAATAAATAAAAAATTTTGGCTTAGTACTACACGCAACAAATTCAAACAAATCTTCACCACTCAACGAATTCTTTAGGAAATACAGAGTATTTAATCTGATACTGATGACAAACCAGAACTCACATATAAACTACAACAACCGAGAAGAAAAAAAAATAAAGTTTAATATAATAACGTACAGTTTGATAATATGAGGATGTCGAAACAGCTTCAGATTCTGAATCTCACGACGAATTTTGCCAACAACATCCAAGCTTTTAATCTTCTGCCGATTCAGAATCTTCACCGCCACCTTATGCCCCGTGACTTGATGCCGGGCCACTAGAAACCACAACAAACAAAAACGTCAACAAACTGTTTTTCGCTGCCTTCCTCCAAGTAATTTCACCTTTAACTTTTCCGAATGTACCCGTCCCCAATGTCTCGCCTAAAACATAATTCAGTACAGTTGTTTAAATGTTTTAATGTTATAAAGCGAACCTATAAACAGGCGGACAGACCAACGTGACTAACCGAGTATGTAATGGCCGATCTTAACCAGCGGCTGTGCTGGCCCACCCGAGGAATCTTTCGGGTCATCCTTGATGGAGTCGCGCTTGTTCGGAGTGCCGGATCGCGAAGTCTGTGCAACATGGGATTTATTAGTGTCATGAATGGCCAGAAAATGCGAATATTTCACATCAAAAACTCGTAAAGCTTTCAAATGCGCATAGCCACTGGCAATAGCCCGACTGCAGGGACTGTTGTTACGGCTTCGCCGCTCAGATTTCCCATCGAGCGATTCATTGGACGCATGCATAATATACCAGACCAGCGAAAGAGTTTTTGGCGATGCGAACACGACACCCAACGAGCATTTTATAGCGAAAGCAATACCTTCCACATCATTTAGAAAGTCGTGCGTCTAGTGATGCAGCGACATCGCGCAAAGGCAGGGAGGAAAAAATAGGAGCATTACAACTAGTTCAGCACATTTTCTGCTGCAGGCATAAGGAGTGATTACATCTTACGCCAATGAAAAAATATCCCGAAGAATCACTTTATAAAAAGATTATGTCTTACCATGATTCTGAGCTCAAGATCACCACCAGCTTCGCTTCCTTCGAGTCTATATTTACACTAAGAGATTTCCTGTCAACTTTTTTCGAAGCCCCATAAAACGACTCTGCAGTACTTTAGCGCCACTCTACCAAATCTATGGAAAGATCGCTACACATGTGGTTTCAGGGCCTGCAACCCACACGTACAGGGTTTTTACTATGCGGCGGAATCGAAACGAAAGCCAGATGATACGCGAACGTAAACAACCATCTCACATGCTTGCGCGGTTCTGATTCGCCCATAAGCAAGCGGCCCACCCCCACTCAAAGAGAAATTCCTAGGGTCTCGTCAGCTAGGTACACTACATCGCCTCCCATACTCCGAGCCACACTCCACAGCCAGATCCACAGACGTGACAGTACTAATGAAGGTGAACGTAAGAAAAAAACACTTATAACTGAGTTGTAAGCTGCCATAACGATTCATGCGGATCATACCGTACCACTATGTATTTCATATTTCACAGCGGCATTTCTAACTCAAATAATTACTGTACGTTGTCGCGATGTGTCGACGATCGGATTAATACAAATAATAATTATATAATTACGTTCAGCGTTTCCTGTAAACAGATTTAATTATTTTAATGCCTGTTGTCGTCTTGTCGGTGTGTAATAAGACTTAAGAGTGTAAGAGTAATAATAATAAGATTACCGTAAAAGTGGTAACACTAACAATCGAATTAATAAAATAATTAACGATCAAAACCTATCTACGAGCACGATAGTGGACTTCAATTCACACCAAAAGCGATTGTAATAATAATAAGATTACCGTAAAAGTGGTAACACTAACAATCGAATTAATAAAATAATTAACGATCAAAACCTATCTACGAGCACGATAGTGGACTTCAATTCACACCAAAAGCGATTTATTAAAGCATCTACGAGAACTGGGCACTTGCTGTCTCAAATAACCCATTTATAAGATGGCGACTATTTCATCCATTGCAAACACCCAATGCAACTGCCAGAGAATCCACATTGGTATGGGTTTTAAGTATTACTGGCAGCGCATGCAATTCGATCAAACAACTGGACCATGCTTTGCAGAGAATATAGAAACATGATGATAACAGAATCATTAGAAGTACACGTATACAACTATCAAGTTCTTCTGCGCACCTTTCTGCAATAGCCCAACGTTCTATTGTAGTAAAATTGTACTATATGTACAAATTATAAAGCAGGTGCAAGTAGACTTCAATAAACGAACTGGGAAAGAGTCTGTCTTGAACAAGGCCGGCTCAATAGTTCCACCACCAGTGGCGCCATTTTTCGAAATCCAGATAATTTGTATGATTCCAGTACTCTATCGTCATCAGATCTGAAGAAAAGAAAAATAATTTTAGGTGCCGATCTTAACGGACACTAACAAGCAAGATACAGCAACTACAAATACGAAATCAGTAGTCAAATCCTTTATTATAATGCTTTATTGCAGTTCTGTCGTACCAAATATTCTAGACATGTAACCTGTTTCAGAAATTATATTTATCTGTCAGTCCACTATCGTACTTACCGATCCAGTGTCCGGGCGGAAGGGTGAAGTAGACAGGTTCGTGGTACCATTTTCCGATCTCCCATTCGGGCACATCCTTCATAATACGATATTCTTCTTCCACCTGCCGGCGAACTCCCTTCAAATACCTACGAAAAATACAATTAAATACTATTAAAAAAATATCAGGAACACGATGATTCAGTGAATTAGATAATATACGGAATCCGAAGCAAAGCGGGATATTTATACCGTAAGTTCCATATCTTTCTGGGAGAAATGGTGCACAATCACTAAACTTGACAACAAGGCCCAAAACAGTTTTGGTACAACGATTAGATTATGTACGATCCTTTCGCAAAATACACTATATCTCTATTCTACAAAAAATTTCGATTATACCGTTTGTGCGAACAGCTATTAAACGCAACAGGATGTGATGCTGACGGTAAGGTACTTAATAATTTAACACAAACATTCGTTCACGGTCAGCAGGAGAAAGGCTGATGAATAAAACAAATAGGGTTCGAGAACTAACTACAATTTACTGCACATGCATGTGATTCATAAAGGGTACAAACAAACCGTCGCAACATCATCAGAATACCCAGACTAATTATTTTATCTTCAGTTAACAGCATTTCTCTAATTCTCAAACAAATGTCACTCACAGGCGATCGATTTCCGCGGCTAATAATGGTTCCAGTGCAAGCTTTCGGTCATTCATTTCCAGTTTGTCCAATCTAAACAATGAAATACATGAACACTTTTTTTATAGACAGGCAACACTAACAGCCACCGAAGTAAGGAACAAAAATGCAAGCGCGGAGTCGTGGACACACTATTCGCCCATCTAGACGTCAAGATCCTTTACCATCATCTAACATTTTCTTACCCTTACGAAAACGTAACAGTCACTATACTGCAGTAGTTGTCGGGCAAAGTGCTAGGACTAGGAAATTTGCAAATTACCATAAAATGGCCAATGAAAACCTAAGAAGTCCTGTGTAGTGTGTAGTCTAATCATAAGGATAACAAATAAATCCGCTAGTGAAAAACTCACCTCCAATTGTTCATAAGATACTGGTATCGACACCACCCAAAGAATGTTACAGCTATGTACGCCAAAAACAGAAACACGGGATTTAAAGATCGCTTTTGCGGGATGCGCACCCAGTCAAATGGTGCATAACCTCCAGCTGGTGGTAGATCCTGTCTGTACGGGATCACTTTCGTGGCGCTGGCTGTGCCAGCAGTGGCTGCGCTGCTGGCCGCCCGTGGCTGAATTCGCCACATATTCACTGCTAACACCTAAAAAACAAAAGAAATCAGGAGCATTTGAATCCTGGCTATGATGATGTTCACTTTAATTTTATGGCTTACAGGCCGGGTTCTAAGCAGCAGTGACAGCATCTTGCAGAAATGGGAGGTTGCTGCTAGGGGAGCAGCGAAAATTCAGAACCAAGCAGTATCCGTTGAGCTAGTGAGGAGATTAGCTCACTGTTCACCAGCAGATTGTTAAGTTCCTCGCAACATACTGGAAGGTTAAAAAGCCACGGATTCCTTAGGATAAAGACATCGCAAGTCCTAGTTTGCAAATTTGTATGAGTACTTTTTCCAAAACAAAATCTGTTTC